GAATGTTGCCGGCGATTCGTCCGGCATGCCCCGGCACGGTCGCCGTTGCCGAGCGGCGATGTGTCTTTATACCGTGCCGCGAGGTGCCGGCGGCACTGCCCGGCACCTTACCGGCGACCCCCGCTTTATCCGATGAAAACGCTAAAGATATCTGCGTCAATCATTAAGGCTTACGTTGACGAGTCCCGTAAAGCAAGTCTGAGTAGTACGCAACGGCTTGCTAACATCAGCAACGGTTGACTCATAAAGGGGCGTTTTTCCTCTACTAATTCGTTCATCAACACAGCCTAAGTCGGCTGTCGTTCGTCGACATGAAATGCCATTGGGATCCGTCCTGAGGACGCTCGAATGACGCTTTCTAAGGTTAGCTATTGGCCGTCATGTTCTGAGTGTCGGAAAAGCGTGGTGCTGTCTCAAGGCATTAAAAATGAAGTTCGATACAGAATGACACCAACTGAACACTTGCTGGTCTTGTACCCATGAAGCAGGATACGGCCCCCGGGGTGGCAGCTCCATGGATAAAAATAAAAGCAATAAATCTTAATAAATGCATTTATCGTCAAGAATCCGAGTGAATATTTCACTTCCGTTTGCACCATCGCATTCCTCTCGTCGAGCTGAGCACATATCACCACTTATATTCAGATTTTGTTTAGGGGGGGGTATGTTTATTCAATTTATTCGGCCGGATAAATACCAAATACTTCCAATAGTAGGGTGCCAGCACGGATATGCCAGGATTCAGACCCGAATATATTCAATAATATTGGATATATTGCTGATAAAATACAAATATGAGCTTATACCTGCATTTAATCGAGAATTTGGATATTTATACAGTGCAAAATTCTCGAAAGCAAGCTTTTATATCAAATATATTGGATATATCGAATATATTTCTCGATAGATATATCGGAAAAGCAAGCCCCTCCACCGTTGAATATTCTGGCAGGTACTACGGGTTATCCAGGGAGCTGCCACCCCGGGATACGGCCGGTATTTGCACAAACAAGCTGGTCAGATATCGGACCACAATTGAATGCGCAATCAAAGAACCCGATACTTTGTTTTTCGCACGTGGAGCCCAAATTACCAGCACACATGCAATTTTTCTCTGAACTCACAACCGCTGTCAACACATCAAACAACTTTCTGAATAGCACATCCTGAACTAGTACAAACATCTTGGCGCCCACGATTCTCCGGCAAGCTGTTCCGCTTGAGGTTTTCCTCCGGGAAATCTCATTCATGTTCTCCTTGTGCTCATATTGTCCACGCAAAGACATCTCTACTGTATCGTCCCAAAAATTTGACATCGAATGAAAATTTGGCCTGCAATTCGGAACATGCTCAAACGGTTACTTAGGTCGTGGGACCTAGAGAAGATCTCAAAGGCCCCCGCAGCTTAAGTATGATTCTGCCAAATGAAAACGACACCAAAAACGAGACCTAATCCTTGGGCTTACGAATGCACTACTGTCCTTCGCTTCCTTTATCCATCTCTGAACCAAGGGGGCCTTGCATTGCGATGTCACTGTACACCTTGCGCCCCTGTTGACGCTTTTCAATCAAGGCTCTGATGCCTGTGCAGGGCTGGGACGCGCAGAAGAAAAAAACGAGATTCGTCGCAATGAACAACCCCGAACCCCACATGAGCATCGAACCCGCGAGCATGAGAAGGAAACTTTTGGGCCCGCGAGCAATATGATAGAGGGCCTGACCGGGAGCATCAGGGTAGAGCAGCTCTTGCAGTTGGTGACAGCTGTCAGCGAATCCTATGTACACCTGAGGAAGGTCTCGAATGGTGCACAGGTAGAGGGTGACGTTCTGGGCGCTGGATGCCAGCACGTGGCGGAAGCTGGTTGGGTCCGAGAGTGGCACGAGGCCCATCTTGACAGATCCAAAGACTAAGGAATACAAGACCAATCCTAAAAGAGCCCCGAACACTGAGAGCAAGGACGATAGGCGGACCTGATAGGAGTCTAGACAGTCAAGCTCGGACCCAATGCTTAACCACTCCCCCAAGCTGATAGACATCAGCGCTCTTTTTTTGCAGCTGGAGTGGGGGGTGATCTGGAAACAACGGGTTGAACAAAGTCTCATTGCCGCGGAGGAAAGCGTTGAGGGGCTCAGGATCAGGTAGGCTTGTGCTTCCTTCCACTTGTACGTGGTAGATCACTTGAACAAACTCGGGGGTAACGTTGAACGACTCGCTTCTTCGAACTAGAGCTGCCACAAGGATTGCTAACAGGACCCTCAAGGCAGGGCCTCCTTGAAGGAGACTCCGTCGGTTACCTCTACTGTAGGTCGCCATTAGTGCGCCGAACGCGAGGGGCCAAAAAGGCTGCTGTTGCATCCGTTAACACAAACCTCAACAATCTACCGATTCCTGCCGCCCTCTTCGTGTGCAAAATTGAAATTCTAGTACTAGTGGTAAGGACCTGCCTCGTCTCGGGGGCGCTCACCGCGCGCTCGAGTCCTCGAAGCCACGTGCCAGAGGGTTTCGGGATTCCGCCTTCCGACCTGTCCGATTCCCGGGCCGTCCGGTCAAAGACACGCGGTCTGCCTGAGCAAAACAATCTTTTGAGGGGATAACATAGACCTGCCCAGATCCGTTCATGCAGTTGAAAGGTAAAACTGCGGACAGGTGATCTCACGCGCGTGTCCCGCATGGAATCGAGCGAAACTCTATTGCATTCAACGATATCATTGATGCATTGGTTCTACATGAAGACAACTCATGCATGATAGCCCAAAGATGACACCTAACGAGAAGCTCGTTAAGGGCCGCAGTCAAGGACTGAACACTCTTGCCGCTGTTCCCAACGGCTAAATGAATATCGAGCAGCTATCCATGATCAGTTTCGTACGAGATTCCGGTTTCCGGCGGACATCAAAGCGGCCATTGCGATCAAGGCACGTAATGTGGTGCAGCATAGACTTGTCGTGGCAATCAGCGCGTCAAAAAGCAGGCAATCCGTCGTGAATTAGCTGCAAAATCGAGGCGTTTGAGAGACATGTCGACTAGTACCCACTGGCGGGCAGATGAGGGAATGAAGCAAACGCGTGTCAGCTGTTCATACAGCTGCTAGCTCTTCAACTCGGACCTCCTTGAGACATGTTCTCTGTTCTGGCGCTCGCTTTTTCTATGGATTTAGGACTTCTACTGCAGCACTTGGGTACAACGAGCAAACTCCAAACTAGTGTACAGAAAGTTCTGCTGAAGACGAGATGTCACGGACTGGTCGAACCACAGATCTATGCAGCTACCTTTGCCTATCAACCCTATACAACTCAGCTACACAGCCGATCCGGCCGGGGCCTGCATCTCGACATGATACACCTTGCGCCTCTCCTTGAGCCAACGGCACCCTTCAGCCAGGGCGCTTGGCCCCCAGAAGAAGAAGCATTGGAGCAATGCCCCCGTGAAGAAGAGCGCGGTCCAAAAGACGGTAAAATGGCGAAGACCATGAGGACTGTCATGTCAGGCCCATGCTCCATCACAGCAGGGACAGGTGCCCATACTCCAGGGTAGAAGGCATCTTGCACTTGGTCTTGATTGCAACTCTGAGCGAAACCTATGTAGACCTGGAAGGCTCCTCTAATTGTACACAGGTAAAGGGTGACATTCTGGCCAGTCGACACTAGCAGCTGGTTCAGGCTGGTTGGTTCGGGCAGGTTTACAAGCTCGAGGCGACTCAGTCCAAAGATGGTCATGTATAGGACCACGCTTAGAACGATGCTGCCGGTAGATGTAACAAAAAGCCACAGTACACCAAAAGCTCTCTTGACTTCCGAGCTGTGAGCCCGAAAACCGAAGACAGAATCGAAGAGAAAGCCCAAGGCTTTGGTGAACAAGCGTTTGAAGGTCTTGCTAAGATGGCAGATGATTATGCAAAGAATGATCAGCCCGAAAAGTACCGCGTTCCAAATCCAACAGACCTTTTCATAGGTCCGCACGATTCTGTCTTGGTTAGCATTCTTAACCATGCCTGGTGCCTTGCCGCATCCGCCAGGGTGCTGAGCTGTGTAGAAGTCAAAGGCAGTCCGGAACAAACTAGATCTGCAGGCTTGCAGCTGGAGAGGAGGATGAGATGGAAACAGTGGATTGAAGACGCTTGTGTTGGCCCTAAGAAAGGCGTTGATTGGCCCGGGGTCAGGCAGGCCGGTGCTCCCATCCACGTGAACAACCACCACCTCAACCGTGAAGTTAGCAGCTTCAGTTAGCTGCAACAATGTAGCTGCGACAAGCACAGCCTCTAGCAAGGCCAGAACGTTGGAGTTCGCCATTGCTCAGGTGCGCTTCAGATTGCGATGCACTTCCGCAGCCCTCGCTCTTGATTTGCTCCACAGATTCTTCGGACTGGACCTCTGCAAAGGAGACTAGAGATTCTTGGAACGAAAAAGCAAGGATGCTTGAAGACAGATCATCCGCGGCGCCCTCAGCCGTCAAAGTTCGCGCGCGGCCGGCCGCCGCATTCATTTCGCAAACGGGGGTTTTGCAGGGTTTCTGCTGTTGGGTCAGCAAAAGTTGGTTAAGTTTAACCAAGCAATTCAGCGGCTGATTTCGGGTTTCAATAATACTTGGGGTTATAAAGCATGACCAACCTGGCCATGGAGGATACAGAATTCAGGTCTGCAGACCGCATCTGACTTGTAGAAAGCCTTACGAGCTGCCTATGCAACCTTCTGCGCCTCTGCTTCAGCTCTAAATTGTCTGTTCCTGCACCACTGCCTGCCGACCGCAGCGATGGACGATGATGCGCTGTTGAAGGACTTCTTCGCTGAAGTCAGTGGAGTTGAGCGGGACAATGAGGTCGAAAGGGTGTTGAGCAGCTTCAAGCTGAATCCATTCGAGCACCTCAACCTTTCCTTCGACTCCACACCCGAGGAAGTCAAGAAGCAGTATCGGAAGGTGAGAGCCTCACCGGGCATGGTTTTTTTGGCCTTCAAAGTCATTTGTCTGCAAAAAACCTGCGAAGTTGTTATGGAGGGCGCAAGAAACCTGGAGCAAGCGACAGCTATTGTGCACTTGGTGCAATGAAAGTCTGGACGCCTGTGGCAATAAGTGAATGGGTGGGTAAATTTAGGGTTTGGATGTGTGGATGCTCACTTCACTCTGCTTGGGCAAAGTGGTTGTACTACCCATCGATGGACTTCAGAGGTGAGTATCTATCAGAATGCTGTTCAGATCATCCCTTCAGGTGCTGCATTTTTGAAAGATTCTCAGTGGTGATAAAAGGACAGGGCTTTGCTTGCGGCAGACAATGATGACCTGTGCTAAAGCTGAAAAGGAATGCGGCTATTTGTAACCTTGTGTTGCCTAGGTCCACTCGCGCCGGTGTCGCTTCCACCTTGTCAAATCTTCCCCGCTGGACTTCAAGGGGGCATAAGGTTCTCACAAGAGCTGTTTGGAGGCGAAGGAACATGTGGCCTTTGTGTTCATTACAAAGCAGAACTACCTTATGGGGTTGCTTGAAGTCATAGAGCCCTCCGTTATGCGCCTGACACATCGTTTTGACCACGCAGATCTCGCTCATGATCCATCCCGACAAGTGCCACCACCCGCGCGCAAAGGAAGCCTTCGCCGCCATCGCGAAGGCGCAGACCACGTTGCTTGACCCCGACGAACGCGGCTACCTTCTGCAGCAGATCAATCAGGCCAAAGGTGAGGGGGATCCCTCCGGAACATGCGTCAGAGTAGGAAGGGGGCTCATGTCAGAGCACGACAAGGTGATACGCCTCTGGAAAAGCAAGCTTTCTGCAATAGATCGATGAGGCAAAGGGTAAATGGCGACAAGCGGAAGAGTCTGTCAGAATTTGGACAAGGAGAAAGTCCGCTCACAATCGGAACCCGGGACGCTGTTGGACGGATGCCGGAGAGTCTGGCCCGGCAAGTCTCAGCCTTCGTTGCCTTCTCAGGAGCAAGATGGACGGCTCCTGAGTTTTGCCTCAGAGACCATGACGGCAGAGCTCGATTGAACCGTCAGATTGCGTTTCTTGAGACCATCCGACGGTTCAAAAGGCCAAGCGTATGTCGCCACCACCTTTCCACCGGTGTCCCCGGCTCCAGTACTGCGATATCTGTTTCTCCTTGTCCCCACTCTGTCAGGCAGTGGAAAGATTCGATGAGAAGGGCTGCGGTGTTTGACGTCTGAGGAGCTCCAATCAGCAACGTCTAGGGCGTCACATTGGAGTTGCATCAGGATCCGAACAGGCACGCGGGATGGGAGTCAATTTTGGACTCTCAATCCAACCTACCTCTCTTCAGCCACTTGACCACCAGCGTGATGCCATATTCACGAAGTCTCGATCCTAAACCGATGTGAAGTTGGACAATGTGGTGATCGACGTGGAGTGCACATACAAATTGACGACCTCTAACGGTCTTCAACTTGGTCAGGTTTCAGGCCCGTTGGGTTTCTAACATACGCTTCGCTTGCACCGACTCTACGCAGGGCAGCTTCTGTCGAGTCACCCACAGCCAGAAACCGTTATACCTGAAACTGTTTGCGATTTCATCATGTTTTTTGACTGGATAAATCGTTGATTGCGGTTTTACAGAGGCGATCATCAAAGCAAAGAAGAAGGAGATCAAGCGGGACCACACGGCGCAGCTGCTGTCGTTGGTGGACAAGGATGCTCTCACCGAGTTCCTCAAAACGGACGAGTTCCAGGCAGAGTGGAAGAAGAAGACGCGGGAGCTCTTGACCGAGCACGTGAGCGTTCTTTCTTGTTTTGCTCTACTCCTCTTTGCGTCCCTCCTAAATTCATCACCCCTGTGGATCTAATAAAGTGTACATTTTCCTGTTCTTATGTTTCGCAATGTGATGGTCTTTTGAGCCTAATGTGGGGCGCAGGCGTCAGAGGTCCATCTGTCAGAGAAACGTCAACGTCATCAATGGCAGAGAAATTGACGTCTTGGCTTCGGCCTTGGAACTTTCGGCTCTTGTCGGAAGACTGCTTGGGCCCTTTATCACATTTGGAGGAACGAAGCACTCCATGTAGCCATCTTTGTGAGGAAATCGACGGGTCGACTTGCGGCTGATACCATACTGTCGAGCAAGGATGCCGCCATCTTTTCGAATTCAAAACCCGTACATGTGATCTTGCAATCTCTGCAATGTCTTTTCCAATGACTTTGTCAGGTTGAATCCCCTCAGCATCATAATCCAAAACCAAACCTTGTAGTGGCCCTCTCCAGTGCATCAGTATGTGGATACGGGTGAGCATCGACAGAATTTTTGCTGAGCGCTGCTCTTTGAGGCATCCTTCCTTGAAGGTGACGAACGTGGACAATCGTGATATGTTGGGAGTCCACTCCCCAGCCTCAGCTCCGCACTTTTGGCACCCTTGCTTCGACCTTACCGGGCGGTTTCTACCGTGCAGGAATGGCGGCGACGAAAAATGAGCCTGAGGATCTCCGAGGAGGAGGGCCGGTTGCACAAAGAAGAGGAGGAGACACGGGACATGTACAAGCGGAAGCGGGAGGAGAACGAGAAGTGGGAGAATACACGAGAGAACCGGGTGTCTAGCTGGCGGGACTTTCAAAAGGGGGGGAAGAAACCGAAGTCCGGGGGGCCGATCAAACCCCCCAAGTTGAAGACGGAGGACGCGACCAAGAGTTACATCCAGCGGCCGGTCATTAAGCGGTGACATTTGGTCAAGGGACCATCTCGTTTGTGTACATACTCGTTGGTTCCAGTTTTAGTGCCTTTGTGTTGCACTTGGGGCGTTGTCGAAGTCAATGACCCACATAATGTCCATGAGATCAGCCGTCGCGCCTCACTTTTGCTGGGTCCAAGCTGATTGAAGTCTGCTTGACGATGATTGTTTCGACCGACACAATTTCAGGCTGGCGTCGTCCGTCCACCCTCGTGAACGTTCGGTGTTTTCACAAGTGCATAAGCGATGTAGTACTTCAAGTATAAATGAGTATAGCAGTGTGTTCGCCTAGCAGCCTAGTGACTCGTATATTCGAATCTGAGTTCTCAAACTCAGCATAGCTGGGCTCCCATCAACCTGGGCCGGCTCAGCTGCAAACGCTATGATGATATCCTCTAAAAGCAACTTCATTAGCCCGCGACAGAGCTAAGCAAAGTCGCACATGCAGGCTATAGTATAACCAGAAAGCGGCATCATGGTGCAAATTATGTCATATCTAGTGACTGCAATCCCAACATAGATGACGGACGCTATGAGTATTGACAATATTTTTAACAAACAGTAAGTCCATGTTCGGCAAGTACGTTGTATATATATACGCAGATTAGTGGACATGCTCTTGTTCCAATGTATACGGAGTTTCGCCCAATCAAGCCCATATCCAGAACTTGGAAATCAGACCTGGACGGTGAGGACACACCTCCTGAGACAGAGCGACTCTCGACAACTTGGGAAACTTCTGATGACTGCCCTCAGAAGATGGCTTACGACTCCTTTGATGATTAGTGTCCTGACACTGCTCCAAGACTTCCACACAGTCCTGTTGATTTTAAAACACTTTCTATGGCCGTTCAACTCCCTACCGAAACCACATATCCGAGCGCGCATCCACTTTGGAACGCCTTTCGATTCAGGCGCCTTCCAGACGCCTCTATCCGGTCACATGACCGTTTTGATCTTTCGCTCGAGACGACCGACGCTCTATCTCCATCCAACATGGCTCGGTGCATTGTCGTGCCCGATGATTAAATAGCCGTACTATCCCAGGTTATGTGTGACGTATGCACCAACTTTGTATACATTAGATCCGGCTCAGGGAGCCCTCGTCTTTTACCACTTGGGGCCTCCCTTCTACGAGTCCGAGCATCTCCACGTTGCCCTCGTCATTGTCATCGATGTCGTCCACGTCATCCGTCTTCCACGTGGACTCATCCTGGATCTCGTAGATCGGCAGGGCGGTTCGAGCATCGGGTTGTGACGACCTGCAAGCGGACACGGAAGAGAACGATTCTCAACGCGTACGCCCCAGGAGCAAAAGATGCGGTTGGAACGGCAGACGCGATACTGGAGTGCCGTGCATTTGTACACCAAAGCAGAAATGCACATTGCGTAATTGCGCTCCAAAATTCGACAAAGGTTGGATGGTATTGTGCTTTGAGTGCTTGATGAGATGGTACTTTTGGAAGGGGGCCCTTTTCCGCTGGAAGGCACGTACGTGACCCTATTTTAAGGGACTTGACGAACAACCTTCACATACGTGTAGCTGACACTGCAATCTGCTCGTTAAATGTATGTAGGAAGTCCAGGGACACAAACGGCATTGAAGCTTCAGAACGAGGCTTCCGAGCAAGATGTCCAAGTGACGGCTTGCTGTCTGGGCGGGCCTTATAATTGCAGAAACTTCGACAGCCTTTAGGTTTGTTCAGGTAAAGTTTCGTAGAGTAATCGGATCGTCTTGCCTCTGCCCAATCTCCATTCGTTACAAAGTGTTTTCTGGCTGTGTGTGAGGCAAGGCATGAAGCTTCAATGGCCGAAACGTCAAAGCGCAGTTCATAGACCGCACACTGCGTTTTGATAAAGCGGAAGACTTGGCGAGTGACGACAGGGTCACATCCCATCCGAATCTCCCCACCCGGAAAGTCGATAGGGACTGTTGTCGGCCGCCTTACCCAATAAGGTTATAGTCGCCCGCAAGATCGTCGGTGTTGACCAGCTCTACTCTTCCGATGGAGCACAGAGCAAACCAGTCAATACTAAACCTCAAAACCCCCAACCCACGAAGTAGTAGAGGACCACAATCGGCCGCCTTACCCAATAAGGTTGTAGTCGCCCGAAAGACTGTCGGTGTCGACCAGGTGTACTCTCCCGGTGGAGCAGCGGTAGAGCGTCCAGAGCAGGCCGAAGAGCAGCGCACCGCAGATGGAGGCCAGGCCCAACACGAAGAAGTGCGCGCCTATGTGCCAGCCCATGCGGTCCTGCGGGTTAAGAATAACGCAAAATTCAGGTACGACATCGAAAACTTCGAAACGCCTGTGGGTAAAGCTTAGGCAAGGGACGACTGATCCGAACGGGAGGCGTTCGACGTCTCTAGGGCAGGCACCAAGTAATGCAGCTTTTTGCAGTTTGTACTGGGATTACATTTGAAAGACGAGCATGAAAACGAGTAAGCTACATCATTCGTCCATAATCGCAGAGCTGTCGCACTTGCTGAATATGCTGCGGCCTACGAGTGTAGGATGTCCGCGCAGTGAAAGTGAACGACAGGAGCCAGGGCCGCCTGCACTTCAAAGATGCACTCGCTCCAGCAAGGGCGCCACCCCACCGGCGCATTCCCGCAAGATCCGTCATAGAAGCGCGAGCGCTTTCTTACAAACTGCGAGGTGTTCAGAAGGAGATTCAAAAAGGGGGTTGTTACTACGGGTCAATTCACACCGAAGGGGGCGCGTTCTCACCAGCGCGAGCTGCGTCCCGCCTTGCACCAGAAGCGCCAGCGTGGCATTGGTCCCGAAGAGCAGCGCGAACCGGCCGTTGGGAACTAGAGTGGCGGATTGCGCAAAGACGAGGCACAGGAGCATCTGCGCGATGCCAGCTGTCAGGATGAGGCTGATATAAGCGGTCCCCAAGCTCTCAATAAGCAGAGCCCCAACCGCTACGACGCCGATAATTAGAGATCCGCCGAAGTAGGCCCAGCCGCCGTTACGCGCGACCGGGGCGGCGAGCTTGATGGCGATAAGCGCGCCGACGGCCGATAGGATATGGACGATGTTGATAGCGTATTGGTTGAAGAAGGCGTCGGGGGAGACCTCGGTGAGGAGGTCTGGGGCGTAGTTAAGGAGGGACGCGTTGACGGCGCTAGCGAAGATCCACCTGTCGACAACAGGGACTGCCTTAGCAACACTACTTTTTGCAACGTATATTACCCTTCAAATCGAAATGGCTTACTTAGTTTCGATTCGGACACTTCCTTATGTCGGCTTGGTCGCAAAGTTGCATCCCTTGCACCAAGCTCCATCTCTATGCGAGTCCGCACGATGGCACTTATGAGTTGACTGCTGCCAAGTGATACATGCCACTTTCGACGTCGAGCAAAAGGACGACCCACAACCGAGAATGTAAATTATAAGATACCACCGAGAACGACCATGGACAAAGTCTGTCGGAAGCTCACCAGAACGACAAGATGCACACTGGCAAGTTCTTGTACACTGCAACGAACTCGCCCAGAAGGCCCTGCAGTGGAAAAGCAGAGCCTCGATATTCTGTGGCCGCGTGGCAGCGCAGGAGTCCTTCGTCACGTGTCTTCAGCTTCTCATCGCACTTCTCTTCGACCGGTTTGTACCGGCCGGACCTCGGGTTAGTATCTTTTCCCCGACCCAGTCTCAAGAAGTTTAAGCGACCACCGAATCGCGAAAGGGCTTATGATTGCGAGGCGACAACCTCGAACTCCGGCCTTCAGACTCACGGGCACACGCCCGGCCGGCCCTTGCCTGGTGAAAAGATTCACCATTACTCCTTACAAGAACTCAAGCCCCTCCGTTACTGTGGCAGCCCAAGAATGTTCAAATCTCGAACTGGGCAATTTCGGACGGTTCGAAAGCGGACTTCTTTTGGGTGTCCGAGTATTGTCGCGTGCGTACCTCCCGTCCGAAGAAGCCCCGGAGGGGCAGGCGTGCGGAGTTGTTGCGGTCGCCCTTAGTGCGGTCCATTTCGTCACGGACCGGGTCCTGGGGTAGCAGCGAGGCCACAAACGCAGCGAGGAGCATCTGCAAAATAATGAAGGTATTTTCTGCCTGAGATCGACCAGAAAGCCCCAAAATTTTCGTCCGGAACAGTGAGAAATGAGAAGATCAGAAAACTGTAGGGACATACAAAACGGACCGGGTCTTGAGGTAGCAGCGAGGCCGCAAACGTAGCGAGGAGCATCTGCGAAAGAAGGAGCTCGTTCCGCGTTTGATACTGAACGAATTTCCCTACGCTCTCCAGCTAAACAAAGCAAAAGAAGAGCCACAAACGCAGCGAGGAGCATCTGAGAAAGAGGGAGCGCGTTCTAGGGCTGATACTGAACGAATGCCACTACGCTTTCTCCCCAATACCAAGCAAACGAAGCCGCTAAGGGCATTTTGAACCTGGGGTCGACCGGAACGTGCTAGCATTTCGCCCGGAACGGAGAATGAGAAGATCAGGGCAGCGCAGCGATATGCAAAACCAGAATGAAAGACGAAGCTTAGAAGACAAACATTCGATGCAATCTGTAAGGGCGTCAGAAGCCGAAAGGACCGCCAAACGAAGCTCAGTGCCAGCATTCTGAAAGGCGCCAGAATCGAAGTGGTGGCAGGAGCGTGGACCTACCGATCCCAGGGGCAGCCATTGGATTAGGACGTCCGGCATAAAGAACTGCATCAGCTGGCCTGCACGCGTCCAAAACGCCCGGATTAGGAAACAGGCCTTGGATCTTCATTGTCAAGATAAGAAGCTGTCAACATATCCCTGTGCGGAAAACAGGCATAAACAGGCAAACTTTTTGACAAGAGCAAAGGCGTCCTGAAATCTGTGTCGCGATAAGCAGCGTCCAAACTTGTTCGTCAGATACCAAGCGAACGAGAAAGAGCGCCAAGAAGGGAACATTGAGAGACTGCAATTAAAGTGAAAGAGTCGAAAATTTCGTTGTCGCAAAAGCAAGCTTTTGAAACATATAGCAATAACAGCTGCCCGGAAATACCGAAAATTTGAGCCTGTCACGTCGCACTCACTGATTGCGGCAGCTCCGACGACTCCGAGCGCGCTCGCGGCCACGACGACGCTCGTTGCTAGCTGGAAGTGGCGCTCGGCCACGTGGAGGAACAGGAAGGCCACCAAGATGACGTCAGCAGCGGCACCGATGCCGTACTGGATCTGCGAGAAGTGAGGCCGGTCTCAGCGAGAATAAAGGGTCTCAGCAGCAGAGTGCAACGTTCAGGCTGCAGGGTGTTCATTTCTGCGGTTCCTGTTCGCTTCTGGGCAGACTGTCGACGAGCAGCGACACATATTTAAAACGGGTTTTGCAACTGGACGGAGTGCCTGGCTACCTTTCCTTCTTTTTAAGTAGCGTAGATTTAAAGATGCTGGCAGGCAAGTCAAAAGTTGCACGTAGAGTAGAGTGATGCTCCATATCCGTTGCTAGCAAGAGCCCCGTAGGGTTTCTTGTAGGGTCCTCTTACAACTCGACAACCACCAACAGAGCGAGGTCCATTCGCGAACCTAGGTTGGACCTGAGTGGCTGCAGACTATCGGTCCGATTGTGTCACAAGCAAGCACCGCATAGTGTTCCCGGAGAACCGACTTTCAGCACATTGACACCGCAAAGGCCACGTGGCTCCGCATGGGAGCTTGGGATTTACCTGGGCGGCGGCCAGGGGCATGCCGAACAGCAAGACCAGTTGGATCAGCACCCGGGCAAACGCGCCTGCAACAAGAGCACAAACAGCTTCAGACTGCACACTTTGAAACAACTGCATTTCTTCCGAAGTCGTCACATCTCAGATGATTAAGTCCTTCTTAATTTCTTATTGATTCATTCGGAAACCTGCATTGGAATGCGTTGGAGCAGGTTCGTCCAGCTGCCAGCATCCTAAGACCGGTGGGGACATCAGCATATGTGTAGCTCGTGGTGCAGTGTCCTTGATATAAGAGGACCGGAAATGAGCACCTCTCGTGCACTGGCTGGTGCACCTGCTAATTCAATGACTGAAACCTCTCAAGGCCCTGCCAAAGAATGCTAGAAGACTTCCAAGTTTCTCACATACAACATGTTACACAGAAGTGACCTGACAACTCTGCATAACGTGTCGTTTCGCGAGTGACGACTGCCTTAACGGAACTAGGGCCCAATTCCCCGATACTGATGTGCAAATCGTTAGCAGAAGCTTCGGGTTCTCAAAACAGGGAAACGCGGCCGGCAAGTCGATAGCAGAAGCTTCGGAACCTGGTCAAACAGGGAAATGCAAGCCGGCGCTTACCAATAGACACGACGGTCTTGTAACCAAAGAGCTCGGCGATGGGCCCCGCAACGGCAGTGCACACGAGGGTGGAGTAGAAGCTGATGGGGAGCCCCTTCAGAATCCACTGCGACTGTAGCAGAGAAAAGAGAGGGATGATTACACTGTTTGACCAAAAACGAAGCGAAGCCGTTCATTCCAAGCGAATAGAAGGCTTCTGGAGCCACAGTGGCTGAGTGCGCGGGTCTCTTTCGCAGTCAACTGAAAGCTCCGAGGGCTCTTTTGAATGTTCTGTTCATTCCACGCAGCCCCTTCGACTCAGTCTAGTTAGTAAGGTGGGACCCGTCCTTAAAAGCTTTGCAGGACATACGGATGTGAGGATATGTGTGTTTTCAAGGCTGCCCAGGTTAAGTATGCCCACTATGTGTTATACTGGTAACTCTGATACAGTATCGACTGGAGATTGTCTTGAGATACATAAGCCCCGGGCACGTCAACAACAAACCTAACCCAACTATTACCTGCTCCGCACCTGCACCTACCCTCACCTTCAAAGTAACCCCGCATGTTCCCCAGGTGCTGATATTAAAACAATTGGCCCTTAACACAATCGAGATTTAGTGGAGTCTACGTAATTGAGAGGAGCCTTTCCTTTCAATCAGCCCATGCGCATCAACCCTTGCCTTTTATTTCTGCACCCAGGCATCCCGACTGCAGCGCTGACCAAATAACGCACTGGAAACAAAAAGCGGGCACCTTTCCTTTCGCACATTGCCCACTCCACAGGACCGAAGAAGGAGTCCGACGTCTGCTTCTCTCCCAAAGAAAATAAGGAAGGAGCGTTCACATACCACGGGCATGTTCTGGCCCTCCTCTGACATCGGCGCTGACGGTGTCTGGTCCACAGCACTCCCCGTGCCCTCCCCTGCCGCTGGCGTCTCCGTCGAGACTTCTGGTGCTGGCGTGGGGGGTTCAGGTGCCGGGGTGGGAAGCTCTGGCTCGGGGGTAGGCATCTCTGGTTCTGGAGTGGGCATCTCTGGTTCAGGGGTAGGGAGCTCTGGCTCGGGGGTAGGGAGTTCTGCTTCTGGGGTGGGGAAGTATGGTGCATCGGTGGGGATTTCAGGAGCAGGGGTAGGGAGCTCTGGGGCTGGGGTAGAGAGTTCGGGGGCCAGGGTAGGGTTCTCCATCTCCGGGGCGGGGGTAGAGAGTTCCGGTTCAGGGGTCACCACCGGCGCCGCCGTGGCTTGGGGTGCGGCAATTGTCTCTGTCGGAGTGGGGGCCAGTTCCTCGGGGGTCAGCTCGCGGACCTTCTGGACCCAGATTGCGTTGATGTACGGCCAGTCGATGATGGGAATGAACTCGATCGCCATCTTGTGGTTCTTGACCGAGTAGAAGGTACCGAAGTTGGCGTTGTTCATGGGGCCTCCGCCCCTCGTGATCAAGTCCACGAAGCTCCACTCCGTCGGCTGGCCGTTGATCGACACGTTGAACACGCGCTGCCCGGGGGCGGTCCAGTACCCCTCCGAGGCGTAAAAGGTGATCCAGTACGCGCCGTCCTCGAGCGGCGGCATCTGGTAGACGATCGGGCCGAACCGCCCCAACGTGTAAAGCGGCGCGTCGTTGGTGCCTTGGACGGTGTACGTGCCGTCAAGTGTTTGCTCGGTGAAGTTCATTACGCCGATCCCGGTGCCCTCCATGTAGTACGGCTCATCGCTCACAAACTTGCGCCCGTCGGAGTCGAAGTACGGCTCCGAGTCGACGGGCTCGCCGCAGTTGATCCCGATGGAGCTGACGTAGTGCAAGGGCTCCGCGACCGTTTCTTCTGTCGGGGCAGGGGTGGCTGTTTCGGGAGCAGGCACCGTGCCTAGTTCTCCCACCTTCTGCAGCCAGATGGCGTTTATCTTCGGCTGGTCAACCAGAGGCTGAAGGGAGATGACCATTTCGTTGTCGAAGACCGACTGCTGGAGGGTCAGGTCCAGTGCCATTCTTGCCCCCCCCGACTGCAGAAACAGGTCCACGCTGCTCGCGGTGCTGAGCGTGTCATCGACGTACACGGCGAAGATGCGCTTCCCCGGCTCTGTGTACCAGGCCTCCGTCTCGTAGAGCGTGATCTCATACACGCCGTTCTCCAGGTTTGGGAAGTTGTACACGACAGGGCCGAAGCGCTCCCTCACGTACAGACCCTGGTCGAACGCGCCTTGGATCTCGAACCCGTCCGTGAAGCTGAAGTCGCCGATGTTTTGCTCAGTGTCCGTGCCTGGGGCGAGGTAGTTCAGGTCGCTGACAAACGTGCGGCCGTCTGACGCGACATAGACCGTGCCTGCTGGCTCCCCGCAAGTGATGCCAACTGACGTGACAAGCTGGGGGAATGCTTCCTGCAAACCGCGTGTAGAGCGGTTGCTGGGGTGTGAGGCGCCCGGGAACCAACCGACCGGGCGCTCAAAGGGGTCCACTTCCTGCTGGGGGGGTCGCGCTTGGAGCAGGAAAGCGAAGAGGGCCGCCAAGAGGATGAAGCGGACGGTCCCCTTGTCCAAATACGACGCCATTGGGGAGGCTAGAGGGTGGAGGGTCGGCACGGGAGGAGAGTGGTAAGGTCAGGAGCTTTAGGGGTGGCGAGCAAACCTGGGGAAGGAGAAAGTGGGGTTAAGTTGGTGCCTAACTTCACAGTCTTGAGAGAGAGGAGGTTGGTGATACAGGCACCTTTTAGATATTCAGGTTGTGAGATCCCTCTATCAAAGGAAATTACAGCAGGTGACATCACTCATGTAGTTTTTAACACCTTAATGCACAAAGCCATGTCAATATTCTGCAGGGAGCAGGCACTTGCAGAATCGACATTGTCAGGAGCCCAAACACGAGAGCTTCACTCGCTCGATCGAACTTTTGAAAGTACTTAGGTTTGAAGTGACCACCGGATGCAGGAAGTGCCGAAACTGGGCGGGAAAGGGCATCTAAGAGCAACTGGAACTTGAAGGAAAATCTCAGACAGCACCAGGACTCTTAGGGTTGGAAATAGGTGGTTTTAAGGACTGTACTGACCAGTTTCACCAAAAAGCTTGGCGACATGTCAATTGCAAATATTCAAAATAGACCCTCAAGCACATAACTTTGTGTTTTCAGTGCTCTCTGAATATTCAAGTGGCAGGCTCTAGACCTGGAGTCATCACTCATGAGGCACAAGCAACAATGCATTATGCTCCATGCTATGCGACCAAGAGAATCAGGAGGAAAATCAGCTCTTTCCACTTAGATCTACAGATGCAGAAGATAGTCAATCTGTCAGGTGTTCAAGCAGGGGCTCATGGGATCTTAGCTTACAAGGTGAAGTTACACTCGGCTCAAAGGCATCTGTTTGGCAGCCTTTCCATCCCACAACACTTGCTTGTATGATCACTCAGAGAATTTCTCAGGTTGAGTACCTGACCAGCAAGCCAGACCTCCAGCGATGGGCTGGATGCTGGGCCTTCCTTTTGGGTTCTATTTAATGTCCTAGGTGGATGCAAGGACCAAGGATGTGTGCATTTGATCTGGTTCAGTAGAGATCTCACAGTTTGAGCATCGCACCCGAGCGCATTCTGTCCCTTATCTTTCCCTTGAAAGAAACCTTTTGGGGGGGTATTGACTCTCAGCACTAAGGGCAAAGCGGCTTACCTCCTTTGAAGTGAAAAGCTCTCTTAACAGGGTTCCCCTTAAAATGCCAGCCCCTAGATCCAATGCATTGTCCTCAAAGGCAGCAGGAGCAGCGTTCAAAGCAGCTCCCTTTTCGTCCACACTTCTTTGACCACCTCTTCGGAACTTTTAGAGCTCTGCGAATCCTTGGGAGGAATGCACCTCTATTCAATTTCTAGGCGCAGCATTGCATCTCTCCAGTGCTCTGCTGGTGCTGTTGACAGAGCCTGAGGCCCAGGGCAGAGCCGGTCCCTGTCTTTCAGGTGGTCACGTCAGAGTACGGGTAATCCCCTGATTTTACGGCAAGGGCGTGGGGTAAGGTATAAAGGCAGTGTCAAAACTCAAAGTATGATGGTGGTATGTAAACGGTTGACACTGTTTTCACATTTCTGCCAGGTAGTGAAGTGGCGGGAGATTCCGATCAGCTCGTGCAGGCGGAAAATCCGGGATGGAAGGATTGAACTCAGTCACTCAGAGTGGTAATGGTGACGCGTAACCATTAACGTTTTCTCGCCGCAACGAGAGCGAGGGCCACATGATGAAAAGAAGGGGACAAAGTTCAACCAAAACTTCAGGAGGAGGGGGAGAAGAACTTGGAAGTTGGAGGAGGAGGAGAAAGGAGCAGCTTTCGAGTGCTAACGCCTGCTTCAGATCCTGTTTCTGTCCTTTGCTTAGTTCAGGTTTCCAAATCGATGCACAGATTTTGGAGCTGCTGGCACCATTAGAGAAACCAGTCATTGAAGCGAACTGTGGGCAGTGAGAAAGAGGTATTGCAAGCTGAAGCTCTAGATTCCCATTGGAAGACTCCCTAGTTTTAGAGAAACTTCTCACAACCGGTGGTGGTTGCCTCGTAGAAAGTCATGTCGTCGTTGAGGAACGCCGTCAAGAGGCGGACGCACAAGGAGCGCTCGCAGCCGTAAGTTCAACTCAACTTACTAAAGTCAGAGGGGACAAGGGGATGCTTGAGGTTGAAAGACAGGGCGGTGGTGACGCCAGAAATTTGGGTAGCATGACCTGCTGTAAGCCGATTGCAAGGGCCTGACATGTGTTACTGTCCAGAGTCGCTTTTTCAGCTACTTTATTCACGCGCTTATTGCTTTTGCAAGATTGAAGTTCTGCAACATTCATCTCTTGATCTTCGTGTCTGTGAATGTGCAGAAGCGATCGCAAGCGGTTTGGCCTGCTTGAGAAGCACAAGGACTATGTCCTGCGCGCCAGGGACTACCACAAGAAGGAGGAAGCAATCAGGGTAAGCGTTGGCTCGTTCTGTGACCAGCCGTATGTAGGACATACGCAACGGTCGCCTTTGATTAAGGTGACTGCATACTCTTCAGGAGAACAGTGGCGGTGCAACCGATCAGTAGGTTGATTCGGCCTTAGGCCAGTACCTTCTTTCATCGAATCATTTCAGTGCCCTCTCAGCGGATAATCTGAAAAGTTTTGGCTCTACTACAATGGCCAATAGTTTTCTTTTTTGAACGCACTCGATGGTCCCTGAAGGCTGCAGTCAGGGAGTTGAGTTCACGGCCTGTTTCAAAATGGTATTTGGCGCATTCCCCTGCAGGTCTTGAAAGAGAAGGCCGCCTCTCGCAACCCCGATGAATTCTACTTCAAGATGCAAAACAGCCAAACGGTTGGAGGCATTCACATTGGAAGGTGAGCAAAGGTGTTTCATGCTGAAAAGAGGCCATGTTGTGAGTCCCTGCCATACTCAGGAAGACAGGGGCTCGTAGGTGTTCGGTGGAACGGGTGTTCCTCATTAGGGCATCTTTGGCTTTGCTGTGTGTACTTTGCACTGTTCAAAGCAGCTGCTCTTTAGTATCTTGATTCAAGCTTTGTTGGTTGAGTACCGCAGGCTTTGGCACTTGCGAGCTTCGGTGACTGCCATGCATCGAGGTTTTATCTTCTTGGATCTCTGTTAGGACGCTCGTATAGCCAAATCTGATTCCATCAAGCGGAACCCCCAATGAGTACCTTGCTGCAATTACCCCGATGACTTCAGAGTTTCGAGCTTAGCAAGGCTATGCTTCTTTGAGAAGCGGGTATGTGATACTTCTACCCTGCTCGTCGTCGTCCATCTACTTTTCTTGCTTTCATTTTTCCAAGCGCCTATTGTAGTGCGGCAATTGATCTTACATTTTTCCCCGAGGCAGGAGGGTAGTCGTCTGATAACCATCTCATTAGCAGGATTTGTTTGTTTTGTCTGCACAGGAAGGACGAGAAGAATAAATACACCCAGGAGCAGTTGCGGTTGATGAAGACACAAGACATTGGTTATGTCCTGAACAGGGCCCAAGAAGAGAGGAAGGTAGGCTTATTGACTCAAATCGTGTTCCGGTCGATTCAGCGTGGTGCTGGCTTTGATGGCAGGCTTCCTTTCTTTTGCCTCTGGGGAGATCTATGTTTTTGCAACGACTCCCTTCGTTGGGCGACGTATGATTCGAGAAGCGTCGGTTGAGCTTGCGAACCCGAGTTTGTGTTTATGGTCCAAACGCTCCGTCTTTTCGCACGAAGGTGAATCTGTGTTCTTGTTGCAGATGCTTCAAATAAGAAAAGCGTTACGGGCAGTTGTTTGATGTGCCGTCCTCATCTTGCAGAAAGTAGAGCGGATGCAAGCAACTTTGCATGGGCTGGGGCGCGAGCGACAAAACAAGAAGGTTCTTTTCGTGGACGAGGGGTAAGTAAAATGTGTTTTCTCACTGCCTTCAAGTCACCATACTCTCATGCTTACCTTATTTTCACAGGAAACAGACTGCCCCATCCACTTTTGAAGTCTTCGAACGAAAAGCCTGGATTTTGGTGTTTGCAAGCCCGTTGCTTTACTCTCGTGGCAAATCTATTGACTTAGGACGTCTTTTAGCTGTCTTCTTTGTAGCTTGCCCCCGCTGCGCGTTACCTTGTCACGACTACTTTTTCGGGAGCTTCGTTGACCGAGGACGTCCTCGTTGAGATCGTCTCATGCCTGCTCTAATAACAGTGAAACACGCAGCATGAGCTGTTTGAACGGCGAGCTCCGACTTGGCTGGCAATTGCGTCAGCAATCGTCGATAAAGAAGTTCAACCACGGGTCGTCTTTATTTGCTTTATAGTTGAGACCCAGTGTTTCTTTTTCCATATGAATTTGCATGTCGCCTCTAACTCCTTGGCCCTGACCAGCACAAATCTTTCTTCCTGAAATCAGGGAAGACGTTGGCGACCGGCTCCCTTCTGGCAGCGGCCAGCAAGAGGACGGCTCTGCGCTCTCCGTTCTACCGAAGCGGATTGAAAAGTAGGTCACCTATTTGCACGTCTTTGACGAACTTGTCGTACGCGATTGGCTCGTTTCAGCAGTGCGGTTACATTCTGACATTCGCATCTGGATTCTTGCTTGTGAAGGTTGGAAATGTTCTCTGGATTTGTGGAATGTCTGGAATCCTTGAAAAGTGACTAATCGACGTGATGAACACGGAGGGCCGAACCAGTTTTATGTTAGGCCTGGTTAGCCTGTACTTTAACTAGAATGGAGTGAGTTACTGAAATCGGAGCGCTTACTTTCAGGCGTCGACAAGCAGCGTACCGGGAGCTGCGGGAACGGAAAGAACGCGCCGAGAGCATGAGCCACATAGCAAACAAAATGCTGCTGCAAAAGGAACTGATGGTAAGTCCTGCTGGCCATTCGCTTCCTCTGTCCGCATATGCCTACCCTCACGATTGTACACGTTTGATTCGCTACGGATTCATTCCGCTGCTGCCTGAAGGAGGGTCGAGAAGCAGGGGGCTCTTTTACTAGTTTTGTTGCCGCCATTTGGTGTTGTGTGGTCGAAAGGTTGTGGCCCACGCTGCTCTCCCCTCATGCGGCCTTTTCTTGTTCAGGGAAAGGGAAGGAAACGGAAGTTGACGCCAGAAGAGGTAGAAAATCCTGGGAAAGGCTCAGTTTTCAAATGGAAGCGTGAACGGAAAAAGTAGGCGTTGCAAAACCAACTTTCATCCAGAGGGCCGATGGGTTCAACCACAGACTTGCTCAATGTTACGAATATCGTTTCTGTGCACGTCGTTGACCTGCTATTCTTGTCCCTTGATCGACGAAATGCAGATGCCATCTTTAAATTGGCTGGGCGTGATAAGAAGTCTCACGCAGACGCTTGCACAAGGTTATAAGCAAAGCGATTTCGCAAAAGCGTACAAGAACGTCGCTAGGCGGATCAAACATTAACTGATTGCAGCTAAACGACGACAGCTGCAGTGACAGCCGCTGTGCACAATCTGAACCCTTTTCGAAGCCCCTTGAAAGTATGTACCGTACTTTAATTTGATTGAATGTCGAACACTTGGTAAATGCCAGCGTGCGCAAACCGTTTTGTTTGCTTTGCCAGCCCTGCAATTACACATGCTGGCATGCAATCGTAATCACTTCGATCACGTGCTGCTATGTACCTCTGTACGTACATAATTACACGCGCATGACAGCCATTGACCCATCCGATGTGACTTGCGAGCTGAACATCAACGTTCGTCACCATGATATCTAGATTCTCTATATGTATACTTAACACCTAAACAGTATGCGTTAGTACTGATCTTCAGGTAAGGCAGGAGCTCGGCCGCCCAGGTAGAAGGTCGGTGTCACACAACTCGTAAAACTTTCTGCCATTCGGATGCATAGCAGATTGCTTGGGCGCAAACTCGCAATGTGGCAAGCAAGATGTCCTGTACGAGACTACTCGAGGCTGCTCCGTAAGTTGCAACAATAGATGGTCCGACCGTTTTCCTGAAACAGGACCTCTTGTTGTGCTCAGCGGATGGTGCTGCCGCCTCAACAGCAGATTATGGTACCCTTGTATCCTGCCTATCTTCGACTACGCCAGCTGTGCCTATGTACAAAAGCTATAGAGTATCAAAACCTTACAGAATCACGCAGCACCTATTCAGCTTCTTTGCGTTCTTGAGGTAGATCTTCGAGTTTTCGCTGAGGTCTTGGCTCTTGTCCATTAGGACCTCCAACTTCTCCCCTCGATCTAATAGACTATTGATTGTTTTATGAGCTACCTCTGCGACGTCGTCGATTTGCCGCTGAACTTTGATAATCTTATCTGCTTGCATCGGATCCTGGTAATGTCGCAGCGCGTCGTTGAGGAGCGGGAGTGACTCTTTACAGTCTGCGTGTATGAGCGCCCATGAGTCCCCCATCCGCCGTTCATAATCGTCGAGGATCTTATTGATGACTGAGTATGCGGCCCGTTCGGGATAGTCTTTGTCTGCAAGGACCACACCCACCAAGCCCTGCAAAGGGATCCAAAGATAAGCTGACTGCATTTGGAGGATCTGTAGGTCACTACCAGTGTCTTGCTGGTTTTCTGGAGGGAGCAGACGCCGGAGAATCACCAACACTAATACTAGCAGGTTGCGCTCAACCTGGATAAACGCGGAGTCTGATCATTGGGAATCCTTTTGAGCTACCGTAAGCAGGAAGTAGCTGAGGAGGGAGGGGGGGGCGCACCTGTTTGTTGTAGGCATGGACCAGATACTCCTCATGCTGGAGCGTTGACTTGTTCCCCTCAGGAGTCCTTCCCCCCACCAGTCTTGACACAAACAGGATCATCTCCTTAACTGTGAGACAGAAGTTACGCCAAAGCTCAGGTTAGTGACTGCAATTGGACAGCTGCATAGCTCAGGTTGACATAAAGGTGCTTGTCGGGAATCGAAGAATTGCTGAGCAGAGAGGCAAAAATGGACACACAGACTGTTGTTGATAGAACCAGCTCAAATGAGATGCCCTGTGTGCCTGAACTGCCAAAGAGCACAAAAAGGCAGAGCTTGGATTGCGTCCAGCATCCACAAGTGAATAGCACAACACAGTAGCAATGCTTGACCTTCTACTGAAAGCTAAGAAGAGCAGCCAGCCTAAAAGAAGGTCCAGGAACTTACAGCTGGACCCATGGACATCCGACAAGATGTAACACCCTGCCAAACTTATCCGCGCATAGAAAGTAGCAAACACAATTAGGGTTCCACTGCTCCTGATACCTGATATGCAGCCAATCAGAGCATGGGACCTTACCTGTGGCCCTCTGGAAGTAGCCAAAGTCTTTCACATCGCTGGCGGTCCCCAGGATCCATGGATCCCCACCCTGACTGTTTGCCTTCACAATGGATAGGGCGATGATCTTCATCACAATTCACGTGAAACGGGCAGCTGGCGAGCAGAGTGGCAGACCAGTGGCAAGTATTGAACTGAAAGTGGCCACCAATCGCCAGCTTTAAGATACTGGGCAATCACACGGGGAAGAAGATCCACAGCCTACAGGTGTGTCTGATCATCTGGATAGAGCGCTGCAGACTTCGAGAAGCAATGACCACGAAAAGCTGCCATCAACCTGTCATTGGTCACGGAAAAGTCGCGTGCTGTTGCAGTAAATCGCACCAAATTGTGTGCCATTGCTTGCAAACACTTTCAAGCTGTATTTGGAGCGACTCACCAAACTCGCGCGAGGGCTCCCTCAAGGCCTGCTTCCGGTTCCGCTTGATCTTAGTTCCGTTCTGCTCAAGGCTCAGCAGAGCCAAATTGCAGGACCAACCCAGCCAAAACATGTAGCGTCCAGTAGCGAGCAGCCCGTATGGGCTCCACCGCTGGCGCGTCCACGAAACTTTGCAGACGTCATATATGGTCTGTTGGCTACCATTTCCACCCATTTTCGAGTCAGCGCACCCGGTGGAGCCCTCAGTGTCAAGGACGAAGTAAACCTATGTCTGACTTGCCCAGCTAAATTGAAAAATCTGGGCATTAAAATGGACCGGCCGAATGACACCCAATGATGGCGGAAACTTGTAGAGAACGTTTTGGGACCTAGCCAAGACGTTTTGACCTTGTGGGCAGTTTGGATATGATGCTTCCGCCCGCTTACAATTCTGCTTGCGCCAACATTTTGGCTGGCGTCTGCGCCCTCTGGACCAACTTGAAGTTGAAGTTGAAGCCTGAGGCCGCAGAGGCAGAGGTGGGCACCGCAGAGGAGAAAGGCGATACGCGGGTGCACAGGCTGCTAATGTTGCTCACCTACTGATACAAGTTGATTGATTGGATGATCTGCTTGCACCCGCATCATGGCACTCTTGGCACTGCTTGCGGGCCGGCAAGCCACAAGGCAGGCTTCGGAAGCTTCCAGCCGCCTCTTCTCAAGTCTGGAAGGCGATCTGCTGTTGAAGAGCCTGCATGCTGAATCACTTGGGTCTCAAATGACGGGGTTCTTTGCGAGGCAGCACACATCGAGTGCGGGAGCCTTGCGAGAAAGGCTTCTGGAAGGAGGGGGAAAGAGGGCATTCACGAGCGGTGTGGGAAAGGTGCTGGCTCCGTTTGCTGCAGGTAAGTTGCAATATGATTCTGCTCTTGAAGAGCACCAGAAAAGGTTAGAGCTGTGTGTGTCAATGTTGATGATCCTGGTTTATCCTCAAAACCAAGGCAACGAGCGGTTTGCTTGGTGGCACCTCGATGGTGTGTTTTTATGGCCTCTGGAATTTTAGTCAGTGTACAGCAGACTTTGTTGTCTTCCAAGATTCAAATTTGCTGGTTGTGCAAAGTTTTTGCGGAAGGATTCGCTTGCACTCCAGCTTCCCCTCCAGGCATTTGAGCTACAAGGCCAGTTTCTTGTGCTTTCGCCTAGACTAGATTCATAGATGCCACTTGCACAGATGCATTGGAGGGAATTGGAATAGATCGTCAGTCAAAGACTTTTCGGGGCAGCCAGTGCGTTTTTTGAACAGTGCTCGATCTTTTGTACAGATGCTGCTGTTTCTGTTTCGTCCGGGGTACTCTCACATCCCTCTGCCACCAAGCCGCTGGCGCTGTCCATCGCGTACTGGGGCCGGTGCTACTACGAGCTTTCAAAAGCGAGGTTGAGGTGAGTAATCCTCTTTTGTCTACTCACTTAGTTATCCTTTTCATGAAACGTCATAAAATGCAAAGATGCGGAACCTGCAGAGACCATCTAATCAGGGGGACATAAGTTGATCGTGATTTGCCATATGAATGGCTCTTATCTGGTGTGCACTTTATCGACTTATTTTCATTTCTCCAGTTTGTGCTTGATACTTGTCTCCTTGCTGATCACACCAACCTGCTGCTTCTATGGCATATTGCCCCCCCTCATGAATCACAAATGAGCTTATATAAGTACTTGTAAAACGTGATCCAGTGCCCTGGTTGTCGCCACTGCTGCTGGAGGGTATATCATGGGAAGCGGCGAGGTGATTGATTGGGCCGGCCTGGGGTGGACCTCTCTTGGCACATACATGGCCGCTGCATCAGCCAATGCATTCAATCAGGTAATTGCCGAATGCTGCCCCTCTGTGAATGTACGGCTGCTCTGCTCTCAAACCTCGTGTGTCTGACATCACTATCGCTGACCATGATAAGAGTCTGGTGTACAGGGATAGCCAAAAGTACTACCGTGGTACTCTTAGTGTACGCAGCACTTGTCTCTCAGCATTGTTGCAGGCTTGAGTTATGCAGTTCTTCAGATATTTTTTGGTGATTCATAGTGTTTCGTGCAGAGATTGTTTTTGATTGGCTTTCCTTTGACCGAAGCCCTATCCAAGGGAGCAGATCTCAGACAAGCTTGTGGTCATCCCGCAGGTCATCGAAATTTCCAACGATGGCCGGATGAGAAGGACGATGCGGCGGCCGCTGCCCTCTGGCCGGATGTCCAGAGCACACGCGCTGAGCTTTGCGATAACGATGGGCGTCGGAGGCGTGTCGTTACTTGCTTCCAAGGCAAGGCTTTCCTCAATCATCCCTCTTTTGACTAGTCAGCTTGACCCGGTTGCTGGCGAAGTGATTGATGTATGGGCGTGGCTGGGATGGATTGCAGTTGGGTGTTGGTTTTATAGTTCGTTACTGGATCAGCTAACATAACTTTCTGATTCAATCTTTGACCCGTCGGCTTTCGTTGCCGTCATGTCCCGTTCGGTTGCAGCAAATCTCTTCAAAAGCCTTCCACGAGAGGTGACACTTCTGAAGCGCTTACCTCCTTCGCATCTGCCCTTATCTGCCATTCTGTATTGAAAACGAGGAAAAGGAGCAGACGCTTACAGTGCAAGCCAGGTATGGCGGACGCGCGGCCCAGCTATCTAAAAGCTTCCCTCCTCCTCTTGCAGACGAACCCTCTGACAGCGCAGCTCGGAGCTGGCAACATCGGTCTCTACGCCCTTGCGTACACCCCTCTGAAGCAGATTCACCCCATCAACACCTGGGTCGGTGCCGTGGTGGGAGCCATCCCGCCGCTTATGGGGTGAGCGAACACAAGTGCCTGGGCTTTTGTTCCCTTATCCAAATAATGAAGAGGTTGTAAAGTCGACCGAACGAGTTGTAATGTCGAGCATCTTTGTGCGTGGGGTCACGTCAGATTCGAAGACAAAAATAACGCTAGGTACTTCGCTCACTTTCTTTGAGGTGGCCTCTTAAAGCTTTTCAGTTTTTCCCCGTGGATAGATGGAGAGTTGTCTCTCGTGCGCAGCCTCTGTGGACTGTGTCAGATTCCAACGAGAAGAGGTTCTTTTTCTGGTCTTTGAGCCCGCATCACTGAGCGCTAACCGCGCTGTATCTTACCCAACCATCTCAGTTCTGCTCCCGTAATCTTCCTTCCTCGTCATGCATCGCTCTCGCTCTTCAACTAAGTTGCTGGACTCGTCCCTCGAGGTCGAAGCACATTCGCTTTAGGAAGGTGAAGTCCGAAGATCCTCAGCGCTAGGCGCTCAACGCAAACTTCTCCGTATATGGAGCTCGGCAGCCCGTTTTCCAGCCTCGAAGATTGCTTCGTGCCCTGTCGCGAGTCTGTGCGAACCAATAAAATCCTTTCCACTCTCGTTCAGATGGGCTGCGGCGGCCGGACAACTAGACCCGGGCGCCGCAGTGCTGGGCGCCGCGCTCTATTTCTGGCAGATGCCGCACTTCATGGCGCTCGCGTACATGTGTCGAAACGACTATGCAACCGGAGGGTGAGTTACACTTCAGTAGGCGTGCGACGAACTGTTCATTGCTGAAATCTCCGAGCTGCACCAAATTAGTAAGGTCCATTCAGAAGGATCTAAGGGTGGCTTCAATGTATCGTAACAAGGGCGGTTGGTCGTGCTATTACCTGAGGGGAAGCGATATAGTGAAGTCAGGAAGTCTCTGCTGAGGCTCAGTCAGTGGGTCCAGAAAGAGGAGACAGTCGAACTTTTTTGAGTAACATTTTGACGTACCTAAGTCTGACGTGGCGAGACTCTGAAAGCCACGGCGCGTTTTCGTTGCAGGTACAAGATGCTGTCGCTGGTTGACAAGACGGGGCGCCGCGTCGCAGCGGTGTCGCTCCGAAACTGCCTGTACATGGTTCCTCTCGGCTTCCTGGCGCTTCACTGTAAGTACCTAGTTGAACCCTGTGGAGAGAGTACGCAGCGAGAATGGAAGCACGTGACTCGATTGGAATGCTACTTCGAAGGGGCTTGATTCCTGAGAACGTTACTCCTGGTCGTTGCAAGAAGGGGAGGGCTAGTTCGCCTGGATTTTGATTATCCGGTTGGAGTGTTTTCTTGTGTTGGATTTGGACGCCTGCAGGAAACTCTCACTGTAATTTCGGTGTCTGCAGGAACTTCCGAGTCTTACCCCACTGTTCTGAGATGCATGTGACACGTCCTTCGTGCCTAGCAATGTCAAATCAACAGTAGTCTACGATGAAATGGAGCGGATCAATCTGACAGTCTTGGGCTCTTAGCAGATTCTTTTCGTCTGCCTCCCTTACGTCGATTAACCAATTCACGTTCCTTCGGTGCAGATGGCGTCACCTCTTCCTACTTCACCTCAGAAAACGTCCTTCTCACGGGTTGGCTCGGCTTATCAGCGGCCGCCTTCTACCGCACCCCCAGCCCTGAAACCGCGCGCAAGCTCTTCCGCCACAGTCTGCTTTACTTGCCTCTCCTTATGGGCGCAATGTTCCTTCACAGAATACCGAACAAAAACGCTCAGAGCCACGACGCAAAGCAAAATTTAGACGTCCCACTCTCGCTAGAAGCGAGCAGTAGTAGTCGAGAAGATTCACATGAAGCCAGTCGGAAGAAGCATTGTGAGAGCTTCGTGCTGGATGAAGGAAGGTGGGGCCGTTCCAGGCAGCAGTATGACGTCGTCGGTAGGCCACCGATAGCGTTTCTCTCTGCAGCACCGTTTCCGTTCTTGCCAGTTCCGGACTTTGCTAGCAGGTAATAAATTGCGAGCAAGTGTCTCTGCGATTCGTTTGCAGCCGGGAAACTTGGTTATAAATTCATATTCGCCAATGGCAAAGCGACGCGCATCTATAGCACACTTCAAAACGATAGCAACCTGATATTGGACACGCCTCATATAGCCGTAGCAAGCTGTGGAGTCAAGAAGCAAGCCCCCGGCCTTGCTGAGACGTGCTCCACGGCCATGGCGGCAAATCAGCGTTAGGAATTGGAAGTTACCATTGCAAATGACTCAAAATGGGGCATACACACTTGATGGATGCGACGTGTCCCTCGATCCACCAATAACATACACGGAGGCAGGAGTGGGGGGGAAATCAGGTGAAGGCTCTTACCTAACTGCCAATGATGGCTGCCAAGCAAAATTGTCAAGCTCGTGTAGCACATGAACAACACGATTTTGGAGGAAGAGCTACCATGGCGGCGCAATTGAAAATGACAATTTAAAATACTATTTTAAACAGGACAAGGTCCGACAAGGTGCAAATTGTCAACAAAGCAATCGACATGCAGCATCATCAGCTGGAGGCTGGGCTATACAGGACGTGGTCTCTAGTTGTTGCACGGCGTACTGGGCTGCATGATCTAGGACAATTTAGTCAGATTTATCATACTTTGGAGCCTCAGTGTTGCGAAACATACACATAGAGTATTAGTCAACAATTTAAGTCACATGCAATGCCTTGCATGGCAATTCGACTATTCGATGCAATCCAGGCATGATTCTGTGTAAGTTTCACTTTCATAAAGAAGGATCGAGGCCGATCGGACGGTTTAGAAAAAAGATCTCCTTGTGCACTTTTTGCGTTTGGTCATGGCATTCCGGAAAAGGAGGCGCCCTCGCTCCTAGGGCGCCCTAAAACCCTAAAACCCTAAAACCCTAAAACCCTACCGCAATTTTATCCTCTAGGTTCAAAAAGGTTCTGAGGCTTTTTGTGCCCCTATCTTCGAGGATGAATCGGAATTCTTTTCTTAAATCTTCGTACGCTATACAATCATAGACGAAGGGAGCTTCATCCTCTATTGCACCCGAATGACAAACTTGGCAAAGTCTTTCCGCCCTGTCTATTCCTTGCCATCTCCCGGTTTCGACAGCCAGATTATGGCAGCCTATGCGGAGCTTGGCCAAGGTATGGAGAAATGGGAGACGGCCTAAACTGTCTAAGTAAGGCTCAAATGAGTAACCTTCCTTGACATCTTCGAAGTATGTCCTATACCTAGTTCCACCTTCCTCTCGCAAATCTTGCATGTACGCCATCTCTGAATTGTCGCGCAACACCTGCAAGTCGAAACCCCTCTCGAGATGTTCGTCGGTCACCAACTCCCTGGCCTTCTCCATCACTTTAGCGTACCATCCCCCCCGGCCTGCTTTCCACATCGACTTTGACTCCTGTAGAGCCAAACGTGCCAAGCGGTCGCTTGGAAGAGTCGAAGTTCGCTTAACGAATTTGAAGACCTGCTCCCACCTTCCGATGGCAAGCGGGAAACGGCCCATCTCTCCAAGAACCGCTTTTGAGAGAGTCGACTTCCTAGCTCGGAGTAGACTGCGCAGAAAAAGACGATGCACCGTCTCCAAACAGTCCCCATCACCATTCCAGCCCCACTCCGGACTGAACCCAGGACCCCACACCTCCGCCCCATACTGGAGGATTGGCCTGACAAGGGTGTCAAAGAGTCCGAGCTTCGTGCTGAGCTTTAGCAACCCCAACTCCTTGCATCTCCGGTCCATCGCAAACACCGCCTTCCGCCCCGCCCCCGCCAAAAGTTGGACCCCCATTGGACCCCAAGCCGAAAGCTTCCGCTACAGTGAAACTGTACCCCCAGATAGTGATAGCTTTGGACGATCTCGACGCGCTCCTCCCCATACCAAAACTCATGCTTCGCTCGTTGCGCTTCCACTTTTCCCCCAAACACTACCGTGACAATCTCCGTTTTCTGCAAGTTTACAAAGACACAAAGAGTTCGGTCTTTGTACACAACTTCTAGTGACTACATACGCACGCCGCACGATGTACCGTGTATGGTGCACCGTGCGTGTATGCATGCATATCCACCATAGGCACCATCATTCAGCTCACTTGTATCACTTGTACGTCAAGGACAAGACTTGTCTTTATCTAGGCTCCGGGAGCGGTTGATTCTGCGAGTTGTGGAGTTGATCCGGCAAAAGCGCATTGAGGAGACACTGGACAACTTCAACCGTCAAGAAGTCTGAGGGGAGTCTGAGAAGTGCTGAAAGAAAATGGTGGGTGGATACTTGAGCTATTGAAAAGCCGCTCCACTGAGCCTCCAGGGCACGAGAGCGAACACGCCGCACGGCCTTCACAAGTTACCTGAGCGAAGTTAGCGAACCCGACGCGAAGGCGGCGACGAGCCGCGGCGTGTAATGTTGAAGTCAAACCTTTAGTACGGTACGCGGCGTAAAAAAAGGCCTGAGAGACTAGAGTCAACCTTTTAGGTAGGTAGGTAGTACGGTTATTACACTACGGTTATTACACCGCCGAGTCCCGACCGGTACTTGCGGCGTAAAAAAGGCCTAGGACCTAGGGCTGCCTCCACACTGGGGGATACTTGGGGATACTGGAGTACCCGGCTACTTCTCAAATTTCTCCAAGGAACCGGGAGCTTCTCCGCAGAATGCGGGAGCCGAAGTAGCCGCTTCCACACCGGGGGCTACTTCGGACATCGGCTACTTCCGCCGGTCACTCTCAGCGTGCCACGTTGGCTCAAAGATTCGCGCAATCATTCAAGAAAGCAGACTGTCGGTGTTAGAACTTCGGTTCAACAACTGGACCGTTATGCTCAAATCTGATTGGCCAACCGCCCAGTAGCCGGCCAAGTAGCCTACTTTTTGAAGGATACTTGCCGGGCTACTCGTTCACACGTGTGAAGGCGAAGTAGCTCCCGATCATCGCGGAACGCAAAGTAGCCGGGTGGAATATCCCGCAGTCTGGACGGGCACTTGCCCGGGATACTCCAGAGGGGGGTACTCGGAGTAGCCGACGACCCAAGTATCCGGCAGTGTGGACTCTGGAGGCAGCCCAGGTGGACTTTCAAGCTTGAAAGTCCACCTCTACGTGGTAGTTTGGTACCTACATACCGTACCGTAATGATGGGCTTTTAATGGTAAACAGATTATCTTGAGGACCGTAATCATTGACGATGTCTGGAAGCCACTCACAATAGGTACCGGTACTGTCACAGTATTACTGTGCAGTGTGCAGTCACCAGTGTGCACTGTGCACTTCTCTGTGAGAGGCTGAGCCTGAGATCAACTAGGCTGTCAAGACCAGTACAAACCTAAGAAACTGAGTCTCGACACGATTTCGGCAGCCTGCAACAGGCGTGCAATGCGCTGCATTGATTGATCAGTGCATGAAGCATTGCTACCTAGTACCAATTCGGATGGCAGTGAAGCTGGGGTGCAGGGCTTTTAGAAGGCAAGAGAAGCTGCAGGAGCGCGGCTAGCGTCGCAGGATCAGCGGAGCCACAGGAGCGAGAGCTAGCTAGCAAATCACAAGTATGGCGGCCTTTGTTGTCGACGGGATCGGCATAGCGCTTGCTAGCCTTCTCGTTTTGTCAAACGGGTTCATGTTCGTCTTCCTGCTGAGGGTTGGCTACAAAAGGGACAGGGCGTTATCGGTGGATGTTTCTGTGATCCTGAACAGCTTTGACGACAATCATGAGGGGAGGCCTAGAAAGAGATCTGGGAAGCGGGTGCAGGGAAGGCATTTCGAGATTGGAGTTGCAGGCGGCACGCCCGACACCCTCAAGAATCTCAATGCAGTCTCGCTTGCAGCTGAGGACGCCAAAAAAGTGACACACATTGAATGTAAGACTGGTGAAGGTGACATTATAGTATTCCAAAAGTCAACCGAGGAGGCTCCAGATCGAACTGCTGGGCGGGACTTGGCTGAGCATGAGGAAACTAATCAGAAGCATCTCACTGCCATGCGATCCATCAGACGGCACTCGGCTGAGGAGACTCATCAGGAGCTGCCTCCAAGACCGTCGGGCGGAATCAAAATTGCTCACTCTTTCTTGAGTGACAAGATGTTGAGTATCCAGCAAGGGACGATGATGCTTTGCACAGTGATGGACATTGCATCCATCTTATTATCGGTGCTCCGGTCAGAAATGCGGCGCCCCCGGGAGAATGGGGGCGGAGAGCCAACAGTGCACTCATATCCATTTGCGTACCTGCTGACCGTGGCTGCTTTTGCCGTGCTGGCCCAAGAGGTTGTGCTCAAGGTCCTATTGGGAGCTAGCTGGTTGGTGGTGCTTCCCGCCATCATAAAGAACAGCGTCAACTCCATGTGCCAAAGGAACGGCATTGTTTTCAGGAAAGCAGGTGACAAACCGAAAGAATGGCGGGAGGTTTTGTGGGTCACCTCAAAGTTTGACAAGCGAAGGGGCCTGTGGTGTGACCATGGGGGCCTGGGGATCCAGTATGCCCATGCTGTCCTGTCTATCGAAGAAGCATACGCTGCCGGCGATGCTTGCTTGGTGCAACTGGCCGTTGCCACGGGGGTGTACTCCTTTGTGATCGTTGCTGCTGTTGCGATGATCATAACGTTGGGCTCTGCCTACTTTCCTGGAGCTGGAGCCGTGCTTTCTGCGGCAGCCGCGATCACAACAGCGGTCACCGCGAGCATGGCGCTGATCTGCACCCACTTGACAATGTTGTGTTACCACGTCGGCAAGGGAAGGCGTATCATGAGGGAGGTCAACGGAGGTATGAGCTTTGCCACCGGGAAGAGCATAAGGGAATTCCAGCTGGGACCCGGGTGGGGGAGCCCGGAAGCTGTGCGAGCTGCTCTGCTCTATGTCCTGTGCCCCATGATGCTGATGAATAAGGTGTTCAAGCCAAAGCCTGGGATGCACCTCTCTTTCCTTTCCAAGTGGGGTGGACACGGAGGACAGGCGGCGGCGCAGTTCATGCGTGCGGATATTGTAACAAGGGCAGACTCCTCCGATCTGATGCGAGATGCACGTCCGGTCAGAGACCAATGCCTTAGTGTACGCATGGGCACGCACGTTGAAACATTGAGTTCCTGTACCACGCGAAGGGTCTCGTATAATACGGAGGGGGATGTTGAATTAGGCGTAGCAACGCCAATGGTCCACGAGCCTATCAGTGACCTTAACAGGTTCTAAATATGCTGTTCTTGACCTTCAGGCTTCACGTACTTGTTGATCTAGGCTGGACGCATGCATGTGCCAGAGTGACTGATTTTGAGATTTGAAACAGCTAGCTTCAGGCTACAGGGTGGTTAAAATCTAGTGCCAAAACGATCTCGTTGGATCAGCTAGGTCTTTCGTGCATGGCTGATCCTCAAATAAAACGTCTCGTTCACGTTTCTGCTTGGACGTGGATTCCTACAGTCTAGGAAAGCTAGTAAGCCATGACCTTCGCCGTCAGCTACTACTGCTCCACTTCTATATGAACTCGAGTGCCACCTGCCAAATTCTCCGAAGCGTCGGATCATGTGGTTTCATTAAGGCAACTTGAGAAGCATTGTGTTTAAGGGTACTACCCATCCCTACATGCGTACTCGTACTGCTGGCCGCCAACACTTGCTTCATCGCCTGCATTTCCAGCCCGATCACATCATCCGACATACGCCCGCAGTCACTAAGCGATTCGGATGCCATTCAGGATGCCTCAAATGCTAAATACGCTGCCGCTGCCGGGTTCTGATGCGCGGATTGCATACACGGAGAATAGATGAAAAATAGAAGTGGTGGAGAGCGCTAGCATGCTAATTGCTATAGTATCGTCGTATCCTTCTGCATCATGCATCATCCATCATGCATCGTCGTATCCATCATGCATCATGCATCATCCTTCATGACATCTCATGCAAACCAAGCAAATCGAATACGAGATGTCTACTCGAAGTGTCAAATCCGTGTTTCATGGCGCTCCGCATATTCTAGCGGGTCTAGCGCATGAGGATCATTGGATGCAATCAACTATTCTGTCTCCGACAAAGTCACGACCCCCACATATTTTCGTCTACAAATCCCGGCATGCAAGCGTTTAACGGACATATACCTATGGAGTCATTCAATCTGATTGCCTCTCGGGCGGGACAGGACTGAGCTTTCGTCAAGCTTGCTTGACTAACTCACCATTTTAATGATGATGGTGAAGAGAAAGATTGAAAGAGTTCTTCCTCTTCCTCGGTTCTAATTGTATTAGGTGATTCTCTAGGCATAACTAAAAGTACAAGGGCCGGGCTTCTGATCGTGTACGAGGTCCGACGTGTCACTGCACGGAGAGCTTACATAAAGGTATAGTCTTAGTCTCACGGAGCTTCTCCGAGGGCGATCACTAGAGCAGGATTGCCCGTCACTACAAGAAAGCCCATGAGCCCGACAACCGTCAAATCAGACCGTCTGCCGCGCAGCACATGGGTGCGCTCTGCACACTCGTTCTAGACGGGGTCAGGAGAGCCGTGGCGCAGGCCGCAACTTTCGTGTGGCTTGGATAGTGGCACTCGATCCTGCTGCGCCAATTGCGAGATGAACACTAGGGCCCCTGGTGGCAATTTTGGACTTAAGGACTGATCAATCTAGCATCTTTTCCAGATTGAGATGAAGATTACTGTATGAAGAAGAGATGAGAATAACTGTACAAGCCCGGAACATTTGTGAGTGACCTGATACCTCTGCACAGATCGAGCTTTGATTCCTCGTGCATTAACGGAGGTAAGTGCCGCCTAGCGCCGCACTTAGCATATCAACTAGACAATGTTGGAATTTCGTAGCTCTGGTAAGTTCCGTCGCCAAATGGTGTCCATAGCTTGATCAAGGTGCCCCTACATCATAACCGCTACGCGTGCGCGTGCAACCCACTTAATGGAATATCTGCTGTGAAGCGTAGTATTCGCTCTCCCTAAAAGCCGGCCTCAGATCCTCGTCCCTCGTGAATTCGAGCGGAAAGGTAACAAGATGGCCTCTAACTGCGTCCAATAACCCATCAACCTCTGAAGACAATGACGATGTGGACGGCTTCGATTCCGTCATCTGATCTCGGCTAACATCTTCTTTGGCCTTAGCCTTCTGGGCAGCCTCAGCTTGGCGCAGGGCGGACCTGAGGTGGACGATGGTTATGTGTGAGAGGGATCCCTTAAAATCAGGCTTGGCCGAATTGTCATTCGCCGCTTGCTCACTATAGCAGGATCTCGCACGAAAAGCATCGTCTCTCTGAACGCCGAAGCATTATGGTCCTCTCTACACTTCCGAGCAAGCCGCCAGTGGTTATACCATCGTATCGAGCAGACTTCACGAGCTCTATATTGCATCTTCTCCCCACATCGTCTAGCCGAGTATGATGTAAGGAGCTGAGAAACTTCAACCGTTGAAATCTTGTTGGTGCGTTTAGAGAAGCTGTGTGGTAACGCACCTGGAGTGGATGGCGTCGCTGGGTATGCATAGGAGGGCGGCCTCGTATATGGCGGTGTTGGACTTGGCACGTGCCATCCAGAGGCCCCAGTAGGTGCGGTCGTGCACCGGGTCCCGGATTCCGTCCATCTGTACACGGAAATGGAAGTCGAGTGTCCTCAAAAAACTTGCATACGACACGGCCACTAATCCGCAGCGCAGAATTGCACACAGCAGCGGCTGCTGTAACAGACTGGCTCTTGCGTGAAAGAGACGAGTGAAAGGTATACAACCTGTACGGGAACAGGAACGCCAAAGAAGGTGGGCCGAAAAGTACATTATTCAAGATCCAGAAGAGAGGTACGGAACACTATTCTCTGCGGAAAGGTTCCAGAGTCCAGAATCCAAACCTCGTAGAAGCTCTTGTGGAAAACTTTCTTCACAAAGAGACCAAAAAGGAGCAAACAACGCTCACGTCCGCTTCTTTGAGCCCCAGGTGCTCCGCCCAGAGCGCCATGCGCAGCGACTGCGCGAACCGGCCCGCGCGCCAGGGGCGCCCGTCCATGGCGCCCGGTACGTACCGCTCGTCCTGGATCACCGCTGCGATCTCGGAGTCGCGCGAGCCGAGCAGGCTGCGGTCGTTCAGATTGGCGGACCCGATCAGCGCCACCCGGTCGTCCACCAGCATCAGCTTGCTGTGGACGTACACCTGGACACGCGTGACGTCAGCATGACGTCATCTTCGTCGGGTTACGAAAGGCCCTGACAATAGGTCCAGTGGGTCCTGCCCATGGCATCGGAATCTGGTGCACATTAGACGGAAGAAGCCTCCGAAAGACCAGCATCAGCTTGCTGTGCCCATACACTGGACACGCGTGACGTCAGCTTGATCTCATCTTCGTCAGCCTATGATGAAGGGTCTAGAAAGAAGACCTTCGGAAAAGGTCCAGGTGGGTCCTGCTGTCGGAATCTGGTGAGTACTAGACGCAGAAAGCCTTCGGAAAGAACCGCATCAGCTTGCTGTACTCCTGGACCCGTCTGACGTCAGCGTGAGGCTTACTTCGTCGGGTTACGACAATACAAGCAAAAAGCAGCAACGGCTTGCTGTGAACACCTGAGAAACCTAGTTCTGTCGCTCCTCTCTGCTGAATGGCTCTTCTCCCTACATGTTTACTCTGCGCTCTCAGGCCCTCCGCTACTTCCTAACCACAGAGCAGAGCCCTATTTTCTTTGACAATCATACGATGATGGACCGCGCTCAGGAAATCAATAATCACGGCGGGACTACTCTACTCACAGCGGCCCCAGGAAGAAGTCCCCTCCATCCTGGAAAAACCCACGATTCCGAGTTCCGTCATTCGCAATCTGTTAAACTTTTGAGACCTGCTGATTCTCCAAGGGGCTCACGATCTAAACTCCGCAAACAACCCACCTGGCTGGTTGCCACGTGTCCCCCCGGCGTGAGCCTCCCGTGGCTCCTTAGCGCAAAGAACCCAACATATTCGGACACCGCCGCCGCCGTGCCTAGTTCCTCCGCGAGCCGCGTGAGCAGCGAGTGCTTGCCCCGGCAGATAGTGCGGTACTGCCAGTGCATGATGGCGCGGACCGAGGCCGCGCCGGCATCGTCGACTCCGCCCTGCAGAGAGTTCAATTGTCAGACTTTGCAGATCTTCTGAATCTTGCCCATAAGGGTTTATGAATCTGCTGCCGACCATACGGTAAGCGCCAGTAACTGCGCTGATGAAACAGTACTGCCAGTCCATGATGGCGCGCACTGAGGCCGCGCCGGCGTCGTTAACGCCCCCCCACAATCGGCAGGGTTTCCAAATGTCAGATTCCGCAGCTTTTCGTACTCTTGCACACAAGGGTGAGTTGTATAGTCCGCAGCCAATCGAGAGCGCCAATCGACCGCGTTCCCACCTAATGAGACAGTGCTGCAAGTGCGTGATGGCGCACACTGAGGACATGCCGGCATCGTCTGCCCCGCCATGCTATCAGCAATTTTTCGGTTTATGATATTTGAAAGCTTGCACTTAGAGGTTCGAGGCTCTGCTGCTCCTTCAACTGATTGACAGGCACTCGCCTCCTCTTCGTCAAAGAGCCCTTGTGACCAACTTATAGCAGTAGAAAACTCTTAATATGCAGGATTGTGAGGTGGCTTGAATTACGGTAGCAAGGTCTGATTGTCTGGCGTTCTTTACTGCGGATTGACAGAGCAAGCAAGCGAGGGTTTGGAAAAACGTCTTGCAGAAGGGTGGGTCTAACGAATAACAGTAGCGACGTTCTTGAAACCCTCGAATGGTATTATGCCCCCTTAGTCGTTCCTTTGGCCTTGATTCCGCGAGCCTCTAGTCGACTCGAGAGGTGAGAATTATTGACAACCGCCAAGAAGGTGTCAAAGCGAGGTCCTCCTTTGCTCGTCCACCCTCCGGTCTCCAGTTAAAGATTCAAAACCTGTTGAGTACCCTCGAGAGTATAGTAAATCAAGGCCAAAGAATACCTGGAAGCCGGGCAGCAACAGCATGACATCAATAAGCGGACGCTCCGTGTAATTGGCTACATTCGGTCCAAAGGCAAGGCCTGGAATCCGCAATAACTGCCAGGTCTTCAGTGAGCGGACCGTCCCCGACCGTACCTGGAACCCGGGCAGCAACGGCATGACAACAATAACCCGGAAGGTTGCGCGCTCCCTGTGCGCGCGCAGGATCCTGGCGAACAGCGCCTGGAGGACACGGTTTTGGATGGTGTCGTCCTCGTCCAGGCCCGACACGAAGAATTGGTTCTGCAAAGGGCGGCAGAAACAGGATTTCTTTGGCCGAAACACCGAAGAATTGGCTATGAAAGGGGAGGGAGACAGGGCATGTTAAACAAGTCGAATAATTGGTTCTGCGAGGAGTTACGGAAGCCGGGCCTCTTGAAGACGAAGTCGGGGGGGCGGTGGGCGCATGTTGTTTGAGCACGTGACTGCGGGAGCGCAAGAGCTGGTGGTGGATGCAGTTCTGCAGGCTTCTTCATATGTACCTTTCACAGGAGAAAAACGTCAACGTGCATGCAGAACGGGAGTGCTAGTACGTTATGAGCAGATTCCTTAGTACACTACCGAGAGCGATCTGATCGGTAATCAGGAGCTTAACCCATGGTGATGACATGCCCGGTTGGACACTTCTAAAGGTGATTGTCTGGCTTCGTCGAGCCCCGATTCAAATCGGTGGCAACCAAGTAAAAATCCACTAACACTGATTTGACAATGACAGAGAATCGCACACCGTGTTTTGCAGTCGGATGTTTCACAGCGAGGGGTTGGGCTCACCTCAATATACACAAAGTGCTGCGCGTTTGTAATAAGCGTGCAGTACGCCTCGTGGATGCTGCGCTCCTCCGCCTGCGTCGTCCCGGCGGACCACTGCCCCACGCTGCGGACAATCTGCGGACAAACGAATATGGTGGTCATTTTGAAAGTGACAATGTTTTCTCTGAAACAGAATGGGCAATCCCCTTCTCCGAAATGTGGGTCAACTCCCCAAAGCACTATTCGCAACTGCCGTCTGTTAGCACACTTCTGAAAGGAACACAGCATTGATGAGGTAGAAGCTTAACGTTGTGTTTGGTGTGGGCTGGGCTATGAGGAGAGCATGCGGGGCATTCATTACGAGCGACGTCATCAAACAAATTCGATACCAACCATCTTCAGCAACTGTCCACGTGTCCTTCTCTTAACTAGCCCGGCCAACAGACTCGAACGTACCGGTACGTCGCCTTCCATGGCTTTCCCCACTTCCTTTTCGTGCTGCGTAATTACCTTGAGCTTTTCAAGGTAAGCTTGAAAAGCTCTCTTGGTGTCAAATGTGAGCTTCTTAATACGGTGTCCGAATGCAGACCTGGCCTCGAAGGGTGAAACCTTACCTGGCACCGACACGACACCCTCTGACCCGCTTCGCCGGACGGCACCGAAGCGCCCACCAAACTCTCGCCCTCTAGTTGCTTGTGAGGCGTTTCATCTCCCCTTTCGCCGCTCGCTCTCCTCTGGGGGGTATCCAACAGTGGCTGCTCCAGGCGCTCCTGCCCCCCCGTTTCGGAACCGGTCATCAACTCTACCTGAAGGTGCTTTTTCCCCTTCCCCGCAGACCCCGGTGTGAACTCGCCCCGTTTCTCTGCACTTGCAAGTGTGCCCCGCTTGTCGGACGGTGTGGAAGGGCCTCGCTTACCGGATGGTGTAAATGCGCCCCTCCGAGCGAACTGCGCCCACTTCTCCCGCAGCCGCGCCGCCGACTCCTGAGCGTCGGCCCAGGTCAGACCGAGGGTTTTCACAACGGGCCTCTGGCCCCGGCCGGCCGGCGGTGTGAATGACCCGCTCCTCCGAAGCTCCGCCATGTCATTCATCTCCGCATTTCCGGACGTCGACGCAAACGCGCCAGAGTCTTCCCGACCGATCTCCCCGTCCAAAAGCCGTCCGACATCGTCCGACTGGTTGGCCCGCCCGAGAGTTTTCACACTGCCCAGGAACAGGGTGCCCACAGACCGGAAAAGGCTGTCGGCACTGCGGGAGTGTGAATGCGTTCCGCGGAAACGGCCGGGGGTCAAGGTGGGGGCTTCTTCCTGGGGCAAAAGGAGGGGGATGGAAAGGACGCTCGAGCGGCGCGAGGGCGGTTCGGAGGCTTCGCCGCTGGCAGCATCCGGCAGGGCATGCGCCTCAATGACCTACGAAAACCAATTTCAAAATTGTTAGCAACAATTGCTTGCTGATCAAACTGGACCGAAGCTCTTAGAAGTTCGACTGCAATGTTCCAGCTGGTTGGAAACTTTGAGAGGCTCGAAAACCTTATTTTTCGCAAGCGTTCAGGTAGAGAAATGGCAAGTTTTAGGACGTGCGCACATAGGTTCTGATTTGATTGAAAAGGGAACAAGCTTCAAAAAGTGGCTGGATGCACGGAAAGGGTACGTATAAAGAATATCCTGAGAAATGTGCTCCTAACTCTTCGCTGCTCGTCTACACTGATCGCAAATGCCAGGTTAGATGGCCAGTCAATCACTCGTTGTCGCCTTACACAAGTGCATCCTTTAATGCTCGCAGCTGCATAGAACATGCAAGGAGTGTGAATATGGCCTGACCTGTTCCTCTTGCTTGCGCTGCTCCTCGATTTCGCGAGCCTCGTCGCCGCTCCGGTAGTGCGGGATGACCATGTGCTGGTGGGGCAACAGCAACGGGATGGCGTCCTGATTGGGCGCCTTGCTCCGCTGCAACAGAGAAAAACTGTGTCAGGGTCTCACGGTGTCTCCGTTGTTAACGTGAGAGACGTGGAAACTAGCTCCGCTGCAACACAGACGACAACGTTCAGAACAGCAGGGATGCATTGTTGAAAAGAGGACCGTGATTGTCCTTACTCCGCAGCCCACGATTCGAGTTGAATTTGATCGGCAATATTGAACTCGGTCTGCCGACAAAAAGGAAAGGGTAGTTTTTTTATCTCATCTCAAACCTCGTCCTCCCGTCCGAGCCAAGAACTTGCGTCACAGGAAGCGGCTTGATGGCTGGGCTTCCCAGCTGAGATACGGGATATAAAGCAGCGGAAGTCAGAGAATTGAAACTGAAGTTGAGGTTTTAGATGAAAAGCGGAATAACGGAATGGTAAAGAAGCGACGCCCCACCTTGGCATAGTTCCAGCGCTGCACGAAGTGGCGCGCGACGTCGCGACAGGGCGGCCCCCAGAGCGCGCAGTGGACGTCGTGCCAGGGCATGCGCGGGGTGCGGCTGCGCTCCAGCTCGTCCTTGTGCGGGTCCTCCCACGAGTTGGGCTCGCGCTCCCTACAGGGTTTGGGAAACTAGGTTAGTGTTTGAAGGTTAACCAGCTCGCCCTCCTTGGAACAGCAATTGTAATGGGTGTTTGTTCAAAGCAGTGGAATGCAGCTTACAAACGTGAGTAACAGATAGTTTATGTAGGTTCGTTCACGGGTTGGGCTCGCACTTCGTGCGGGTTTTGGGTCAGGGTTAAGATTTGAAGTTAGTTATTGGATTACAGCAGTTCGCGAGTCGGTGTGGACAATCGTACTTGAAAGTTTCACAATTGGAGCCTCGGTAAGGGAGCGGGATCAAAGAACTGGAATCATTAGTGGACCTGCAATCTTCATTGTAGCGTGGATGCTAAACAGGCAGAGGTTCTTCCAAGCGTTTGACTTGCGCTCCCTTCAGATCCCGGCGGATCAAGTGCTCACAGCGGTAGAAGGACTTTCTTTTCGCTGCGCCCACCAGAGTTTTGCGAGCTTGCACGCTCCTGACAGCGAAGGACTCCGCAAGCGACACGTGGCATTTAGGCGACCCACAAGAAGCTTACCTGGGGTTGTAGTAGTCCTTCCCCGGCCAGACGGTCGCCGGCAGGTCCCCCAGGGAGTGCTCGGGGGTGTCGTACCGACCGAAGCACAGGTCCAAGCCGCCCAGAAAGGCCACCCGGTGATCAACCACCACGATCTTCTCGTGGTGGGACCTGGGCAAAAATGGGGACGCATTACGACCGAGGGTGTTCCTGCTTTTGAATCTGTCGAATAAAGGTACTCAAAGCGTCTCATTGTGGGCTCTTGAGATCAGTAACTGTGGTTATATGAGTTGAGGTACTAGAGTTTCGTTGGAAGGATCCCAGGATGGCTGGGAGCTTGCAAACTTCGGTTGCAAGGATGAACGACAACGTGGTGGGTTCCTCTCCATCTTGCGAGACCTTTTGAGCTGCGTGCTGGCTGCATAAAAGAGCACGCGCCAATTGCTTCTTCAGCTAGACGCAAAAGAAATGGAACATGGAAATAGCGAGTAGGAAAACAGGGCAAAGGGCTCACCAGAGATAGACCCCCGCCGAAAAGTGGTCCGGATGCCGCACGACCTTGATGTTCTCGTGCAGCGCTTGCAGCTTCTTCTTGCTGTATAAGCTATTGATCTTGAGCGCGATGGACACCTCCTTATACATCAGTATGTACACCTGCACGCCCGCCCGCGCGCGCTCCTCCAGAATGGCGGCGACCGTGGACTGGCCGTGGCTGGCGAAGGGTCGCCGGAGGAAGAGGTCGGGGCAGAGCCACCAGCCGGTGATATAGATCTGCGGTCAACAAACTTACGAGGGTTTGTTGAAGCACAACAGGACGGCGATGTGATGAACAACGCAACCGTCCAGGTTCGACTCGCCCCAAAGCAAGGCAGAAGATACTGTGAAAGACCGATGGACAAAGCAGGTTTGCAAGTCTCGTCCGGCAAATAGGGAGGAGCGACGGGTAGTACTTCCTCTCAACAATCATTCGACGGATGGATTCACACACTTCGAACTCGGGATACGCACTTGGAAAGCAAAACAACTCAGATCTTTGTATTCAAATATCCGGCTTCCCTCGTTACAAATTTCCTCTTTGCCGGTAAACCACACCCTCAGGAACAAACTCAGGGCCTCGACAGAAAGCGCAGAAGGCATTGACATCCAAGAAGCTGAACCATACCACACGAGCTACCAAACACGTGCCTTTCTTATCCAGCACCGTTGCAAAGAAGCTTAGAAACCGACTGCAATCAAATACCAGATTCCCCACCTCGTTCTTCGCTGACTCCAGCGCATTGGCCACCGCCTCAAACGCTGCCCTCCCGTCAACGAGCCACTGTGCTTCGCTGCCATCGGCAATCATCCCCCGAGGGGGCGCAAATGAGCCGAAGCGGTGGGGGTGGCACCACGCCTCGGGGGCCTGCAACCCGGCCTCGTTGATCGCAGCCACCCAGTCTTTCGAACCCGCCCCATGCCTGACAAAAGAAGCAAATTTTGATATTGGTAAAGTTCACTTGCGGTCCAGATTTTAGGTACTCATTTGAGCACAGGGTTCCCTCCAACTCGATGAATGAGGTCTTCTGAACCCGCCGCATGCCTGACCAGAAGCGTATAGGTGAAATACATTTGCGGTCATGACTTCTGGAAGCCGTTTGAGGAGATCCACTCTAACTCGATGGATCAGGAACCACTGATGTCGAGACAGCGCTACTTCTGCGGAGGTGATAACGTTGAACGTTGGCATAAGGAACAGGCCCATCGACATTGGCGCGAATCGACGGCTCTCTCTTTAAGGCTACGTTCTACAGAGCGCTCCGTGTTCGTCGTTTTGGGGAAGCGACCGTCAGAAAAGGTTGCCACATGACCACGGAGCAGCCGCACATGCTACGAGCTCACCAGCAGCCGGCAATTGCGATCTCGTCAAACGTGTGTTGTAACATCGTGGAATCGACGATGATGTCTCACCTGGTCCGTATTTGCAGAACTCGGCCCCCACCCGCAACCTCAAACCCAAACCACATTGGCCGCTTGTACTTGTGCGGCCTCGCCAGCCGCACGCCCTCGTCCTTCCGCTCCATTCCGTCGTTCCGCTCGGTTCCGCCGTTCCGTTCCGCTGTCTGAAGGACATCGAAGAGGATGATGTCCACCGGCTTCTTGTCGAGGGGGTCAGCTAGCAGTGCGAGGAAGCCAGGCTTGAGAACCCCCCATACCTCCTGCCAGTTTCCGCGGCAGCACGTGCTTCCGCAAAAGCAGGAAAAGAGGCGGCGGAACCAGCCGGGGCGCGTCTTCTTCCGGGGGGGTAGGTCTTGTTCCTTGTCGCCTGCAGAAGTGAGCCGGCTGTAAGATGGCCAAGAAATAGAAGAGCGCAGTAATAAGGGACACACGAAGGTTGCTCGCAACATCAGAAGCCTCCGACATGGCGACGTTTCATCGACTCCTGTCATCGAGCGGCTAAGGAAGTCGCTGCAGCGTTATCGGAAGTCTGACGTTGGCATGACGTCAGTCAGTCCAAACCTGTGAAGTGCGAGGTTCGATCCCCCTCGGTAAACCTGATGACTCAAGGTCCTATCGTGGGGTATGCGGAAGGAGCGTACTGAGTTGGAACTCCACACAAAGCGATTGCAGGAGAGAGATCAACGTGCCGGACAAACCACACCCACCAACCCCACGCACCTTCCTCGTCATCGTCTGCCTCCGTGTCCAGGTCCGCCAGGTGGCGCACGCTGAGCCAGCCCTCATGGAGCTTGGGGCCATACTCGCGCGCAAATGACAGCCGCGACACCTCCAAGAAGCGGCACACCTCGCGCGTGTTCACCAACTCTAAGTTTTCCAAAAAGCTGCAGAAAAGGGGCCGTTCGGACGTTGTCAAGCTTCTCGCAAGGTTTGGTTTATTGCTGAAATCCCGTTTGGCTTAATCACTGAGGAGGTGATTTCGATTTCCACTGTGTCAGAAAAAGCTTGTAAATCGGTTGCAGGGTATTGATCTGAAAATCCTTTTAGTCGGGTTGACCGACAGGATCAGCGAGAGTATGTATTTTAAGGAGGAGTGTGACTCCTGAGAATAGGCATCAAAGCATTGTCGATCATGACAATCATACAGACAAAAACGAGGGCATAGGAGCCCAAAAGAAGTTCCTGAGACGTCACCATTGCTAGCAAGATCAGAACTAAGAGTGTTACGGACCCGCGTCCCTTCCATAAGAGACTGAACTCTGGTTGCGCGCGGATGTGAGCTTCATTCCAAGTCGAATTTTTCGAGAAGGTGATGGTCGAAAAAGGTGGTGGATGCCGGAGCCGAGCAGAAGCAGGGGGGTGAAAACGCGTCTTCGTTAGTGCAATTTTGAGCAAAACAGTGTTTTTGAGTGTTTCTTGAGGCCAGACAAATCGAACTAAGCGGACAACCGAATCAACTGACACACAAGTTGGCCGGAAACTGCGGTGGGAATCTGTTCAGAATCGTCGAGCACAACGCAACAAAGCACAGAAAACTCGAAGGCATCCCCTTACTGGTTCACATAATCCTGCATCACTCGCATCGCATCCTCTGCCGCACTCCCGCTCCTCCCTAACGTCGGCTTCATCACCGAGAACGCCGCCTCCACTGGGACGCTCACGTCCACCTTCCGGGGGGTGCTCTGCCCAGCCTCCGGCTCCCCCCCTTCCCGAAAAGGATCCTCCAACCCCTCCTCGCCTCCCTCGGCAACCCCCCCAGAAAACCGGAAGGAGTGCCCCCGAAATGAGTGCTCCGGCAGAAGACGGTCTAGGTAAGACTTGAGGTTCTCTTGCTGTCGGTCCCAGTAAAGCTTGAACTGCTCCTGCCGCGTGCGCAGCTCGACGGTGAGCGCGCGGCGCTTGAGGCGGAAGTGGAGGGCGAGGACCTGGCCCGCGCGCTTCTCCAGGCGCCACGAGAACTAGAACAGGGGGGAAAGAGCGTGTGTGGCTTAGTCAGACTTGTTACACTTGAGATTCATGGAAGGGCTGAGTGGGAGTTGACTTGTGTTCTGAGAAGTTGGTGGTAGCTGGGGACTCTGCGGCAGCCTACTAGTAGAGCTTCTCCAGGCAGCTCAGTGGGGGGAACCAAAGTTCAAGGAAAACATTTGACGCTCTGAGAGATGCATCATCAGGAGAATGACAAAAGGCAATACGAGGTTTTGAACAAACAACAGGCGGGGCTTTCAGGAGCCGGAGCACGTTTTTGGTACTTCCAAGAAATGCAAAGTCTAATCAAAAGCCGACTTTTCAGCTGATAAGCTGTCTTCTCCCAATCAAGCAAGTTATCAAATCATGCTGTCAACAGGGACCCATACCACCCAAGCATCCAGAACGCTTGAATTTCATGACTGACAGCCTGATCTCCAGAGCATCATGAACAACTTTGTCCAAACTGTACCACCTTCAGCAACTGGGAATCCCATCGCAACTCACCTGCCTGTAGCGCATCTCAATTGTGTACACCAATTGCACATCCGTAACATCAGCTCTGGTGACCCCTGTGACCCTTGCCACCGGCAACTCTTCAAAGACTGCCGCCTCGGCTTTCGCTGCAGCATCTTTTTCATTCCCATCACAATCTACGGCTGAATCATGTGCGACCTGTCCCTCAATTGGTCTGTACTCCCCCTTTCTTTCCGCTGAAGGATGGTCCTCAGACCGCGCCATGGCTTGGGAACATTAGAATCAAGAGATTCACGTCAGTGAGCAATTTAAAACTTTGAATTTGAAGCATCAAACTATGAGGACTTGCAAGAACCAGCGCTGAACCAAGCCTTTGCGCAGCTGCTGGCTGGACAACTGCCTCTCGAAGCTGCAGCAATGCACTGAAGCAGCTGGCAGTGGGAGTGGGTCTGCGCACATCCCAGGGCCAAAGCTTTCTCCATCATGGAACTCGGAAAAGCAAGCTCACATGCACTGGTGGCAGTGGTGACTGACTTTGACAAGCTTGAACTTGCATGAAGCAGCTGCTTTGAAGTGAATGATAAAGTGCAGATGTGCACAATTAAAGGCAATGTTTTTCGACCAGGCATAAGTACATGGAGAGGATGGGACGCAAATGGACGCATAAGCGCGTAGCTTTGCTCTGAGTCTAAGGTAGATTTTGAGAAAGACTCAAAGAGTGGCTCAATCTACCAGTATTGAGACCTCCTACAGGAATTCCAGATTTTTTGGAATTATAAGCTTAGGTACGTCTTTAGCCACGTATGCGCGGTGAGTTGACCACCTGGGCACTAGGAAATCTGAAAAGCCACGCACATATGGCGTGTGAAGAGCTCTATAGCAGTAGTAAAAGGTAGATACTAGAGCCTGAGGCGTTTCCTTCTCCCTCCTCCCGCAGCGATTGTACGTCTCACTTTTGCTGAGAATGAAACCTTGATTGTGGCTTTTTTTGCTCTCGCTTGGCCTTTCCCACCGCGGTTGTGGTACAATCCACTTAGATTGGCCATGCTCTCTAATCTGCTGCGACGGCCTTTTGCTGCGGCTGCTGCCACCGTGCGGCGCACGCGGGGTCTTGAGGAGTTTTTTGAAGGGGGGCCTCTTAAGAAGGACGAGCCGCTGGTGGTTGGGAGGGAATGGAAGGTGAGCCTCGTGGGAGATACTCGAATTTGAAGCTGGTTCTTAGTAGATTTCAAGGCAAGCACCTTTCTTAGATACAAAGGTGGTCACAACGCTCTGCCCTTCTAACATATCCAAAGTGATTGTGAGATGTGGGCAAAAGGGTTGGTGTACCACCTGGTGGCGAATGCAGAAGTGAAGCGCTTGCCACTTGACAGCTTGAGCGTGGCTCGTCAAAATGGCCTTCAGAAGCTTACGATGCAAAGAGTGGTGCAAGCCTGTGATGCAACAAGCGGTGGTGGCTCGAGAGGTGGCTATAGTTCTTGTTGCTTAATGGTTTAGCCAAAGTGGCGTGATGCTATGCATCCGATCTGCACACTGGACAGATTGCCCAGCATTGAAAATTGTAAGATTGAAAGCGTGCACTTTTCTGCTTGGACAATCGTTTCGTGGTTAAAAGTACACTCAGAAGCTGAAAGAGTTGATACTCAATTTTGATGTCAGGCACCTTAAGTTCCGCAATGGTTTAACAGGGCAAAAGATTGCTGATTGGGTACTGCCCTCAGCATGATTCTTGTTGCTTCTTATTCTGTTTCTTCTCTGATTTTACCTTTTGACATGTCTACGGCGAAGTCAGGGCAGCTCCAGGCATCTGCGGCTCACTTTGAGAAGCTATCAATGAGCACCGATGGACGATGAACACTGTTCAGCATCTGGCTTTTGCAGGCCAGCGATTTGCGGCTAAAGTCGTTTGACGACCTTCACAAGCTGTGGTATGTGTTGCTTAAGGAGCGGAACATGCTGGCAACACAGAAGGAAATCCATCGAAAGGCCGGCTATGTCATGCCCCGCTTGGACCGGATACCGAAGGTGGGTAAAGGGGCATCCTTGCTTATTGCGCTGTCATGGTGTTCTTTGTTTTAGATCCATGTATGATCAGGGGGCGAAAGCCTTTTCTTTCTAATATTACATGATGGGGAGAACGTACAATTTCAGTACAGGATTGCAGTACGGACTTTTCATTCTTGTGACTCAAGGGCAGATCTATCAATGGAATTGTTTAATGAATGCAGGTGCGGAAGGCCATGTGTCGAATAAAACACGTTCTTACTGAGAGAGCACTCGCCGAATCTGACGTCCAAAAACGGGCTGTAGCAAAGAAAGTAATTAACGACATGTGAAATGGGACGCTGATTCCAGCGCATATTACTCTGTAGAATACAATGGACAGTGAAGCCTCCAGATCTGACCATCTTGCCATCAGGTTTAGATCATCATGGTAGGAATGACACACCAGGTTTGGTGCCAGCCAATCAGAATCGGTTGAGTTACGTTTGCAATTGAAGGTCCACTTGCACATGTGCCATGCAGCAGACTGAGTAAGATATTGTGCTACTATATGGTATGACTTTGAATGATTGCAATGATCCGAAGACTTTGGATGCAATTGAACTAGCGATGAAATACATCAATGGCGCGTTTATGCATGGTTGTTTGGCATGAGTAACAATGAATGCACGCAGACTGCGCAATGTGTATAGGACTCATATGAAAATAGCATCATGGTTGTTTTTCGGAATAAACGCGTGCGCATATGCAATCGATCCTGGCACACTTGGGAGAGAATTCTCACTCAGCCAGCTGCAACTGACGGCCATCTGGTCTGTGGCCCTGCATAGCATAATCTAGTACCTAATAGAGCTTCCATAATAGGTGGCTAGCGTATGTAAAATCTACACTCGCTGATGTCGTGCAAGCAAGTTGCAACTCTCTGCTAACGACGAGACGTAGCGGGTGCGTCTTGGTGCAGCCACATGTGCAGTGGCACCACGCCTATGGTTTGAGATCAACAACAACTGCGTGCCGCCAACGAGTGCGCTGGATTCCTTCTTTATACTGTCCCCTATCCAAATGAACTGGATGTATGTCTAGTTTTCAAGCTCGTTTGCACAGTTTCAAAGCAACTTAATCCGACTTCAAAGCAACTGATCTAGTAACTTAAGAAACCATCAAATGTTTAGAACGTATCAATGTCACCTTCCATTGGAGTGTTATGTACTCGCCTGAAAGTGGAGACCCATCGTAATGATCCCAATATACAAACCCTCTATATGGTTACAGTCCAAGCCAGCATTTTTGCTGCTTGTCAATGTCAAGCTAGTCATATCAGCCCTCCGATTAACGGACGCAGTAGAACTGACTCAAAGCAAGGGGCCCTCATAAGTAGGTCTTCACTTTTGCAGCTTCGCCGATTTTCCGGAGAGCCAGAACAAGTTCAGACATCCCGGCTAGGAGCTCAACCTGCTGTCGCCATGTCAAAACACCCAAGACCTTCTTCACCGTCGTTAACCTCAATTCGTCTCCCTGATGAACCAGTTGCTTCAGCGAAACTAACCTCTCGTGCATTGCAGCCTTGATGCTCACAGAGAAAGCATCTGGGTCTGCTTTGGAAGGGTCAGCCAGGCCGGGAAGGGGCAGGTCGGCAAGATTCATTTGCAGTGATGCAGACTCGTCACTCAAGTCATCTTCAATCTGCAAGAAAATTCCACAATTTAGCAGCCTACTACCCATGTTGTAATTGTCTGGGTTACACAGCGTGCCTTCACCAACCTGAGCTGTGCGCTCTAACACTTCTCTCCCTCACCAATGCCTAACCCCACGAGTTGCTCAAGTTCTCCTAGGTTGCAACTCGCAGCTCACTGAAACTGAAAACTCCACACTTTGGATTTCAGATGGTTAACAGCAAATCTGACATTCTCAGATTGGATTGGATTGGCATCCCAGCGTGAACCATGATGTGCGTACAAGCAATCAGTGCTGACGGATGACAAACTGTGCACGATTAGCAACAGACGAGCTGATGCAAACTGCTGGTCATCAAACCCTAGGGACAGCAAAAAAATCTTAACAGATCGACGCCCCAGGATCGAACAAAACCTACCAAGCTTGACTCCGAACTCCAAGCGCTATCCAACTTCAGGTAGCAACTAAAAATTGAGCCTTCTTCCAAGGAGCGCCGCAACTCTGAACATCCCGGCCAAAACCGAAACCACTCACTTTTGTAGTCGCGAGCTGCATACTCGACAGCTCTTCCAGTTGCTTCCCTGTCAGGCTGGCCATTGGGGGGAACGCCCCCCCGCTTAAAAGCAGGCCCAAGCTGTTCTCAATTTGGGACCCAACCATATGATAGATCAGCTGGAAGAGAGTGGTCGGCCGCAGGCCCCCGTTCCAAAGAAACGACACCTCTAAAGGCGTCCTCCAGAGGCCCGCCATTACCTGCAAAAACACATGCCAGGAACAAGTGGGTGGGAGTCTCAAACTATGCAATGCCTGCATATTTTGTATTTAAAGCCTGGCAACATTCTGCAAAAGTGGCTCTGTCAAAGGGTCACAAAAAGCAACACCCCCCTTCGATGATGTCACCCGTTGCCGAATAGTTTAGTCATGGAGAACGCAGATCTTGGAATTTACCCACTTTGCTCCTGAAGCGCACCGCTGCCCTATACTGTCACTCTTCTGACATCAGGAATTGCTAAAACAGTCAACCTTGATTCAAGGAACTCACATGGAGGACATCTGCGTCTACCGCCCGACACTTCTCCGCAAACAGGTCTACAACTGCACGGAGGCTCTCTTCCACAAGCTCTTTACACTGTTCCGCGCCCGCGTCGTCACTGATCGCTTTCTTCAGCTTCTCCAACCTCATCCTGTACTCATGAAACCAGGTGTCTGCATACTTGTCAAAATGTGCAATTATCTCAGCAGAGCCCTGTTTTGTCAAACCCTCGGGGTTTGAAGCTTGCCAATCTTGGCTTGTGGACGACTCCTCTGCCCTACCCCCCCTCAAGCTAGGAACACGTTGCACTTCCATGGGTGCCGCAGACTCCTGCTCCTCCTCCATTGGCGAGTCCGTTGCCGCTTTATTAAAATCCTCCCCACCAGCCTCCCGTCGCTCAGTGCTGGAAACAGTGTCGTCGTTCCCTGCACCACCTTCATGTCCGTGCCCAATCATCTTCAGCTCCATTGAACCTGCTCGTGACTCTTCGTCATCAGAAAGCCCACCCTGAGCCTTCCGTTTGACCATTGAGGAGCCGCCCTCTGCCAAAATGCCTGGAAGCTCAGCTCGCATCGCCGCAATGGCAGCAAGAAACGGATTTGCTTTCTCCTCAGCAGTGATCCTCAAAAAGGTAGATCTGTATCAGCTTTTGCGCGTGCTTATCCGCCCCATATGTGGCAGTGTGAAGACGACGCTGCGAGTTTCCATTATGTTTCAAGGGTTGACATTTACATGAGCAAGGACCCCCTTACGAGCTACCGTAGTGGCACGACCCATTCGCGACCCCTCTCTGCGAACATTATTTTTTTCACTTATTTTTTTTCACACCAAGCTCAAGAGGATTTATTTCATTTCGTACCAGCAATATAACCCTACAGAATCAGGTGATTAACCACCCAAAACAGACGTAACCAATCAACTAACCCGGATCTTTTAGTTTCGCAGTTTCACACAAGCTGTTCAGAATTAATTATTTTTTTCACACAAGCCCAAAATAATTAATTTCAGGGTGAATGGGTCGTGCCACTACGGTAAACTGGTTCTTGAGACGTCATCCTGGGACGGCGCGAGCGGTGCTCATTATTGAGCGCGTCACCTTTTATCCAATCATTTGGCCCAAAAGAGCATCTGAGTGCCCCGTGTTCACGCACCGGCCACTCACGCAAAACTTCAGTCCTGAAATCCTTTCTCAGGGCAGACTGGTTGAAGGCAGACTACGCTCGGGGAGGAGCCACGGGTTGACAATCATATCGGATTCGACGATACGGGGAGCCTGGAACCTATTCACACTGAGTTGTGATCAAGAAAAGCTGAGCCGCAAGTCAAGCGAAGCATCTCACGTGGTCACCATCCTTTTCACTTTTGACTTGGAACTTGCAGCGTGCACATTTGCCTGAGCCAGGTGGGTCCTGTCTTCCCACTGGCAATCGCCACACAAAAAGGAGACAGGTAAAGGACCATCTGCAGGAGTTTTGTTTCGGGTGCGTTCAGACGTCAGCAGCAATGTCGCTGCGTGTGACGTCGCCGGCCTTGAGTACTAGGAGCTGTGGGGGATGGCAGAGCAGCACGTTCGGCGATTCTGCAAGTTGTATTGAAGCCAAAAATGTCTGCCTGGTACCGAGTTTCACCAAGCGACTAGCAGGCAGTTTCACAGGAACAGAGAAAGCTCAAAGGTTCGCTGCGCGGACATATTCAGGACCCTTAAGGACCATTGCAGCAGTAGCAGATGCGGCAGCTGACGGTATGTCCTCCGATTTAAGCTTGGTATATTCACCATTTGACCTTGCGGCATTGCCCAAAACCGCTCAAGTCCTGTACGTCTAAATTTTTTGCTTCAAGGAGGTTCCAATCTTTATTCTGGGCCGTATCAATCCTGCCTGAATCGTTTCTTGATATGATGAAGGCCTCACATCATTTTCAAGCCGCTTGTTCACATCTAGGATTGTCCAATAGTTGCGCAAGGAAACCACTTTGTGCGCCATCGCATGGTAATGGTGAAGGGTTTTGTGTGTTTCTTAAATGCAGTATAAGGTGTTTCACGCCCTCAACTTTTATTGTTAGTATTTGATGAAGCAAAACGTGGAAGAGGAAGTGCATTGCTAAGCGCTGTTTCCCGTGTAGATTGGATTCTAAACCTGACCGCATCAGCATATGGAATATGTAGGCATGGCCTTTTGAACGCCATCCGCCTGCGCAAGATAATATATGAGAGGGTGCTCGGGGCAAGGAACACCTCACATATCAGAATTTCTTGCCGGAAGTGGGAAGTATTGAAACCCTGATGCCCGTTATAGCAAGTGATGCTCAGTACGATGAAGCAGCATTTGGGAAAGTGCGATGGATTGGTGGTGGAAATTGACGCCCTCTTTAGAGTCGCGGCTTCAGTTCGGGAATTCTTGAGCATTAAGGATTTGAGTGGGGCCTGGTAAGCCTAACCTGTCAGCATCTTACTTGTGAGCTGCTTCTGGAACTCAGAACTGTCAAGAGTGATAGTCAAGCAATCAAGAAACAGAGCAATGACAGTCTTCGCTTTTTCAAATTCAGCTCCTGCCAAGCAGCGGAGCTGGCGAGAGAAAGCACGACCGATCCAGCCAGGCAGCGCGTACCCAGCGAAAGAGCACTGCAGGTAAGCCGCCATCGTTGGTGCATAACTGCAAGTCTTTGTTCATCACAATTGTGTTCAGTTCCATTGGGCCTGGAAGATTCCTGCAGTATGGTACTCGTCTCCATCTCAATCCATCGTGACTGCTCCAGATCGGTCCATAAAGCTCAATTGCAGCACTTGCCTTTCACATCTCTAGTTGGAAGTCCTGTTCATGAGATATACCAGCGCAATTTCCTGTCTTTTACCTTTCATAGCTGTTGCCAACCAGGCTGCAGCTGCATATTCAGAGTCTGCACAATCAAGATCGCACCTCATATTGTTTCCCCTGAGCCACAACACTCTGTTTTATGTGTCCCTTTTCAGCAATTGTGGCCTGTGCGACACCTACTACGTAGCACACGTGAAGGACGCGTGTGCTTTTCTGGGGGACGGCATGTCCAGGGTCGAGGTATGGGTATCTCCTAGTCCATTTCTGTATCAAGTTGACCAAGCTTTCGCAGTTAAAACAGCACCTGGTGCCGGATCACTCCTTGATCTTAAAAATCGATGCTACGATGGCGTGCAAAGCCGCAGCATTTGTTGTATGTTTTCCGTCCGCTTCCAATGGTCATGCACGGATGGATCAAGGACCCCTGGTCAGAATCGCAAGTTAACCTCGGTTATCCCAAACCCTGTCGCAGGATCTTGAGCCACGGGTACACGGACGGGGTCGGGACCCAGACTCGCTGGACGACGCTCACTTTGGAGTGCACAAAGAGATGCTGTATGCCAAGAAGACGAACCCAATTGAAGGAGCGCAGTGGACTGGAATTGTAACTGGCATTGCAATGGAGATGCTGCGGTCGGGCAAAGTGGACGCGGTCGTGTGCGTGCAAAGGTGAGCTTGGTGGCAACGCAGGCGACGCCGCAGCGAGTTCTACGTGTTCTGAAGTGCCCTGCGTGTTCTGAAGTGCTCTCAAAGAAGTAGTTCGAGATCGACTAGGAGTTGGTGCGGTCATTGGACAGGGTTGGTATCCAAAGACCGTTTGACATCCAAGTTGAACGGGTGATCTCAGTCGTCATATCAATCGTAGCCTTCTTGCAGGGAACGTTTGATGAAAGGCAGAGTCCGTGTTGTCCAATTACCAACGAACTTCTTACAACGTTTGCATCAATATTGACGAGCGTTGTGATCTGATTGTGAATGGAGTCGTCCATTGCTCGCAGCGATCCTGAAGACCGGTTCAAACCAAAGCCGGTGCTAGCCCGTACACCTGAGGAGGTTCTGGCTGCGAGGGGCGTCAAGCCAACGCTGTCACCAAACCTGAACGTGCTAGCTCTTGTAGAGGTGCGTGGTCGGATGAAAAAACCCTTCGCACGATACGATTTGTCAGAGGAAGCTAGAGCAATCAAACAGAGTCCGTTGACTCTGGTTTTAGGAAACCAATAGAAAGAGACGTCACTGGTTTTGCCGCTGACGGTTTAGAAACAAGTCGAGAGTCCTTGCTTATTGACAATATGAAGTTCCTTGAAAAGGTGCAATTGCTTCAGGTAATTTGGTCACCTTTTTCGGGCCATGATGGAGTTTCTCAATAAGGATAGGTGCCTTCAAGAACGGGCCTCTTGTGAGCACTAAGGCCGTGTGCAGCACTAAGGCCGTCAAGTAAAAATGTTGAAATGGGAATGCTTTCGTCTTTGCAGGCAGCAGGTGTAAAACGGCTGCTGTTCTGTGGAGTCGGCTGTCAAGTACAAGGTACGTGGGCGCCTTGCTCGTAGAAAAGTTTCTCAGTCCCAAGCGCTTTTGCGCACCTTTCACTTCAGCTCGGAAGGTTGACCGGAGTCAAAGAGGTGTGAGATTCGATCTTGCCAGTTTGCGCATTGATGTCGTTTCGAGAAGCTCACAGTTTGACAAGGATAATGACCCTTGCGTGGTTGAAGGGGACCCATCGAACGGCTTAAGATCGTGGTTCAGATAACAGATCTACTGTCTGCCGGGCTTTGGGTTTCAAGCAAAGCCTTTGATATCGGACCCTCGCCTCGTTTCTTCGCCCCGATGTCCACTGCATAAAACTCGCTGGTGCCAGAGCTCGTAGAAAAGAAGGACTAATTTGAATAAACCGTTTTTTTGTATTTTCTTTATATAAAAAATTGATCTTGAGCCGTTTCTTTAGGACAACTGCTACGCAAAGAACGGGCGTAAAAGGAGTGGGTTTGAAAGGTGCGTAGTCCCTCATTCAAGCCGCTTTTTACGGCGAGTGACATTCTAATCCAATGCTGGCCCCTTCCTTGCAGCGCTGCGCTCGGTGGAGCAACATCTGGGACTGGAGAAGCTCTACGTTCTGGGGACCAACTGTGGTAAGTCACTGACCATCAGTTGTACTGGTCTGCACAACTTTCCTCTGGTACTCACAGATTTGACATGGAGCAATTAGAGTGCTGCGGTCGAGAGACACATTGATTCGTCAGGTTTTATAGGAGCAAAGTACAAATCTTCTGTCGTGGCCGTCATGGTTGTTTCTTGATGTTTCGACCTCAGCAACTTTCTACCGCCGCGCTCGATGGCACTTGACTAAAGCGAACCTTATGCCCCGCACTGGACCCCTGTCCTTGGATGCGCCAGGAGAAACCGGGTTTGTGTGCGGCGAGCGACTCAGCAATAGAAGAGTGGACCACTAGGTTTTTTCGGATACGTACAGATGGCCTTCCCCCACTTGCAGTGACGGCGGACATGTGAACAGCTTAGCTTCTCGCAGTGAAAACTGGTCACTGAACAGGGCTGGAGAAGTTTCTGCCCGCTGCGAGCGACTCAAGGTTCGAAAATAGACGTTTCTGACTACGCCTTTCTCTTTCCCGCGAGTAGAGTCTCTCAAACCTGGCTTGTTCCTCGCAGTGGACAACGGTCCCCGCGCAGGGCTGGAGAAGTTTTTGAACGCCGCGAGCGACGAGCCGGAGACGGTGCTGCACTACGAGTTCATGCAGGACTACAAGGTGCACTTGAAGCACCTCGACGGGCGCAACGAGGAGGTACGGTCGTCGTCGCTTTCCGCCTGCTTGATCCGTCCCACTAAGCAAGACTCATGCTTAGATTTTGACGTTTATTCGGCCCCTATCCAGAAGTTGTAGCTGGTCGAGGGCTTTCTGTCCTTTGCAGGAACGGCATAAAATAGAATCTGAAAGTGTTTCTCCTTGCTGCCGCGGAGTCTTCCGTTGTAGGGTGCCCTTGCGGCCATGACTCCCATACCTCTATACCTTAGCAGAGCTCCTGCGGGATTGGCGCGTTATATGGATTACGAGCATTTGCGCAATCTCAAAAACGAACACTTGATCTGCGCATTCCTTTTCATCAAGGAAGCGTTTTCGCTCGGAAACTTGCGCCCAAGCCAGTCTCTCATCCAACCTCTAATACTGCCGCTGCAGGTGCCGTACTTCTGTCTGCCAGCGGACGACTTAAAGGACGTTATCGCCCCCTCCTGTTACACGTAAGCGTCAGGTGGCCCGTTGTCTCTGGGAACCTGCCCTTCTTACAACACTGCTTGCAAGCTCGTGATGGGCTCGAGGGCTGTTATGGTGTCGGAGTGGAGGTCAGCCTTTTAGAAAGGGACGCAGCTCTTGCGGGGGGTCCCTGAGGATATCAAACCCTCAGGACGCAGGAATGTTGACGTGGCTGGCTTACCATGTAGATATCCAATCACTCCGTCGAAAGATATGCAAATTGTTGTTGATAGTCGGCTGCCTCGCATGAGGCTCCAGGTTCGAGAGTTTCGGCGGGGCGATTGCGGGGCCGAATTGGAAGCATCTGACTCGTTCTTCGAATCGCTTTCAGGTGCTTCGACTACACAAACGGACTAGCGGTAAGCAGCTCGGCTCTGCACTGATGTTTTTTTGTGATGATGTCTTTTTGTGACGAGAGTGTGTGGTTTTGTGGATGAAATACTCTTACGTCGCTTGTCGGCAGCGACGAAAGCCAGCATCGACTGAAAAGGGCTTGTGCATCCAACAAGATGTTGCTCATTTGCTCCTTGCTGTTTTGGCTCTGTCTCAAATAGGCAGAGGGCCGATGCAGTCAAGGCGGTAAGGCAAGTAAGGGAGTGCTGAAGTCCAGTCGACACTCGGATTGTTGCTCAGCTCCACTAGTACTTAGGACATAGCCAGTCCCGTGTTGAAATCCAAGTTCCGGACTGTCGATTTTCTGCGGGTTTTGATAGGAGACGCTGGCTTTGATATGGTGGTGGCCCGTCCAAGCGAACCCTCCGCTTGCACCTATCGCGAAAACGGTTAGAGCACCTAGTTGCTGAGGTCAGCGGCTCTCTTCCCCGGTGCAGGATCTGGTGGTCGGGTATATGGGCGTGCCCAAGTCGGAGGGAGTCCCCATGACACGGCACCCACAATACGTCACCGTAAGGTGAGGCCTCTTTCAGTCATGATCGCATCCCATCTCACGTTCATCTGCGGAAGTGTCACTGGTTTGCTGCTCCGGCCTTGTGCACGCTTCAAGGCACCGTGCATTTCCGAGACGTGCTTTCAGTACGAAAAACGCCTTCAAGTACCGTTAGAGACGGTTCGGGTTGCCCTGTTATCACTTCCCGGACAAAGTAAAGTTCAGAAGCACCCACCAACTCTTCCAGAACAGTGTCACCCGCCTCTCTGGCTCTGTCGGTTGCCTACTGGTTTTGTTGCACCAGTCAAATCTGCACCATAAGCATTCTGTGTTCTCCGGATAGTGCTCAGCTCTCGGTCTCTTTCTACTTCGCAGGAATGACCGGGGGGCGGAGATGCTGGACCTCGTTAGAAATCAGCTGGAAATCACACCGACGGTCAGCTCGGTAAGCAGGCTTTTCCACCCCGTGCAACGGCCCCGTGAGTCTGATCACATTGAGGACAAAGACGTGAAAGTACAGATAAATGCTGGGGTTTTTTTCTGCACTGAAAGCGCTATTTGCTCGTGTCAGATCAAACAAGAGTTCGAAGAACAACGTACGACGGCGTTTGGACGCTGACCTTTCCATGTGGACTCTAATGTCAGTCAGCCCTCTGACCCATCCGTACCTACATTGCTCAAAGCTTGTACTGCCGGCAGCAAGCTCACGATGACCTTCGCTTTAGGTTCCGCGTCGACCGAAAACTGCTTGGCTCGCCAGCTTCGCATCTCCGGTCCGCGTACAGCTTTGGACAGTACCGCTCCAGCTAAAACTTGTACTAGGTCTGTACTTTTTTTACCACGTGATCCATTGAAGCGTTCTAATTGGTCGTCACGACCGGAGACGAGCGCTAAGCCATTTCGGTCGACGCGGAACCTTACGGGGTCAAAGGACGCTTCCTTGCAAGGAATCGTGCGGCTGGTGCGTATTACTAACGCAACCTGTGATTCCGCATGCAGGGTGACAGAAAGTCGTTCGTCCTAGAGACGGTCAAGGCAGACGACAAGGCCACGATCGGTAAGCCACCCCATTCTGCGGAGATTTGTACTCTCTGTTGAGGGGAGAATGTCAAGAAGTAAACCTGGTTCTTTGCCTCTTCGCCGACGGAAAGGTTCAGATTCGATTTCGTGATATTTCGTCGTGCACTCGGAGTGTCGTGTTCGTCGAGCTATATTCTCGGTCTGCTGGCGAAAAGCTCTGCGCCGTTTGCCTAGACACCGTCAGGCTGCCGTGTGCCCCTTGGAGACGGATTGCCGCAAGAACGTTCGGACTCCAGCAAAACGACGTCATCAACAGTCGTTTTTTATTGTTGCAGGCCTAGAAACAACAGTCCCGGCGCCTCTGTTTATCGGCAACGCCATCGCGTGGGTGCTAGACAAGATTGGACCCAAAGGTCTTGAGTTCGGACGCTACTCTATAGACTACCACTTCATCCGAAACTACTTATACGTAGTCCGGACCTGGGGTCCGAAAAGGTCCGTGTCGGCGTCTCTCATATTTTATATCATGCAGAGTTCCACAAATTCTACAGGCAAAAGGTTTTCAAATAAAGCAAAAGAAGTAGCAAAGAATAAGGAGATGGAAAGAAGCTTTGCGGGTAACTTCTTAAGTAAGGCTGGTAGCTTTCGGAGGCAGAATGGCTTTCGTGGGTTGTTGCAGTGACCCTGTCTGACGCGTTTGCGGTCAGTGTGGCTGCACCCTTCCGTCAGTTACGCGCAGGCAGTGTGCGAGTCAAGGTGTCGTCTCGTGTTGTCGTCGAACATACACTCCTTCGTCTAGTTGCTTCTAAATAGTGTTTTCTGTGACTCTTTTCTGTTGTTTGGGAGTTCAAGCCAGTGGTGGCTTGCTATTCTGTCGTAGTAGCTGGCAGGACTTGTCAGCTTGAAGTGCGCTGCGCGATTGATTCTGGTCTGCGCAGTCTTCTTCATCAACGGCTCTCTTTGGCTCCCTTTGAGTTTCTCGCTCGGTTGCTCAGAAATGGCTAGCACCACTACAGTTACAGTCACTCTCGGATTTTTAAACCCCACGTTATCGTTGGACCTATTCAAAAGCCGAAACTGATTTTCTCCATCTTTTCTGTTGCAGGGCTGCGCAGCATATACCGGCCTACGCCCAACGGCTGGTTAACATGTACAACAAGAAGGGCGAAATAGACCGCATTTTAGATGAAGGTGCCCTCGCTATGGAGTTCAAGAAGCAGATTGAGGGGAGGCCCAAGCGGGAGCCAAAAGCGATTTGGGAAAAGCTCTACGGGGTTCAAGAAGACTTTGGGTACACAGAGGATGGGGCGACGCGGCATCGAAACGAGCTATTGTCTCTTGCGCTAGCATACGGGGTTGTGACGCTCGTTTTGAAATACTTGTTTGACAGCGGATTCATTCATCCTTAGTCAGTTCGCACTTTTGACTGGTTACCGTACCTCATAAGCGGACAGACCACAGTGTATATAAGAGTTGACATAACAGGTTGTTCCCCAAAGATTTTTTAGGTAGTTCGTAGGTGACGCAGAGGCAAGCACCAAGTGGTTTCCAACGCACTTTTGTATCGGAAGGTTGACCAATCGTGACCAATGATTTCTGTCCTAAGAGCAGGCGGCCCTACACCTCCGAAAAGGCAATCCGCGGTCTGAATCCAAAGTCTTTTGTCCAAAGCTTCGCTTCTTGGGAAGCTAGCAAATGAATGCGCATGGTTGACGAACTAGCAGTTTGTGTCAACGATTGATATGCAAATGAAGATCCAAGGACCGAGCCTGAGCATTAAACTAGCTCCGTGGGCTCAGTCCTTGCTGGTTGTGTTTGACATGCTGGATATACTGCCGCGAAATTCCGTTGGGAAGTCAGACTTCATCAAGAATCAGCACGTACGTATAGATGATACAAGAAAGCATGATCTACAGCAGCCGGGTAGTGCTGATGCATGTCGACAGGTTGCTAACCGCGCGGTTAAAACTTAAGATGATAAACCGTGGCGGTTACCGCGTACGTGGTTTCCACGTTCGGATATTCCAACTTTTTTGCCAGCGTGGCACTTGCAACCAATAGGGTGCGCTTCCGAGATCTTGCCTTCACTTTGGCCAGCCACGTAAGCGTCGACGGAAGATTCACTTCGTTGCAGTCTGCACTTCAGTCTCGTCACCAGAGGGCAGGGCTCAACTTTCAAGCAAGAAGAAAGCGAAGGAAAAGCAACCTGAAGAGCATCAGGGCGCTCTTGGAACAATCGACGGCGGTTGAAACCATCTGACTACCTTGCATTCTCCTTACTCTCTTCGTGGTTGAGCGTCTTGTTTTTGAACAGGTTTCAGCGAAGCGCTTCGCTTTATAGCAGTTTTTTTGCTTCAACAAGAAGCTTGCACGCGTTCAATAATAAGAAAATGGAGGCCGTGGCCTCTCCGGCCCTGCACACCCAGGCAGCAGCTGCAGGGTTCGGACAGAGGACGCATGGTACGCACGTGCAAACGCAGGTTCGGACACAGGCCGCCCTGCTGCCTCGGCAACAGAGGCATCCAAAGCTCCACAGCTTTGGCTCCGCAAAAAGCATTGCAGGCCAGAAAGTTTGTGCAGAGTCTGAGGGGTTTAGGAGGGATAGAAAGGGGCGGGGGCATGCCAGGGCAGCGGGGACGCAAAGTCCGACAAGGGAAAGGCCCTCAGTGAAAGAGGCGGCCGAGAAGATCGTAGGGGGTCTAGGGGGCGGGCTAGATGAGGTTAAGCTGGATGAGGTAGCGGGGCAGGTAGCAAAGGAGACGGGGAGCGAGAAGGCGCAGATCAGTGAGTTTTTGAAGCGGGAGTACAAGGCAGGGTTTGTGACTGACATCCAGTCAGAGAGGATTCCGAGGGGGTTGTCAGAGGAGACAGTCAGGACTATCTCGGCAAAGAAGAACGAGCCGCAGTGGATGCTCGACTATCGCCTGCGGGCCTACCGCCAGTGGCTGAAGATGGAGGAGCCACGCTGGTCGGACAACAAGTATCCCAGGTAAGCTCAATCCTCATTTCTTTCCCACAGCTCACCTTCGTATTTTAGAGTTCAGCACTCTGAAAGATTTCTTTCTATCTTGTCGTCGCTTTGAGTTTTTTTCTGCTGAAGATTTTGGTAATGGTGGCTGGCCCTTTACAATCTGTACCTTGTCTTGAAGCAATCCTACTCTAACATAAGTGTCTGGATGAAGATCCCACATGGACGACGCTCCTTTTCTTTAATTGGGTGAGCTCTATAACGGGCTACAAGGGTGAAGGAAAGGTTGTCTGGCGTGCTCCACTGCGTGTGGCAGCTACGTAGTTGTTTGAATCGTATCGTAAGGAGTTTGTGATTTGCATAGTATTGAGGCTTTTGCTTATTCTTAAAGCTGCCTTTCACAATTGCAAGGCTGGTGCAACATTGAGATTAACTAAATGCTGTCGCATGTAGTAGCTCCATTGCAGGAGTGCTTGGCAATGTGCAGTGTGTAGCAGACATTGCTTGCTTTCAGAAACTTTGGAGATCTGACTTTCCGCACTTCGATGTGCAGAGGAAATAGCTCTGCATATACTGGAGTTACCAACTTGTCCTTCCAGTATTTCACATGGAGTGATCGAGCGAACCCTACTTCTAGCTGATTTCCTTCTCTATACCATCATTTTGCACACGTCCCGAAAGGAGACAATGCTGTTCGTCTAGTTTGTTGTCTAAGTGCGCCGGTTGCTTGAATTCTCCCGAGCATATTCTGTTGCTGGTGGTGGCTCTATCTTGAAAAGGTGCACTGGTGTCCCTGAAAAATCATTGAATTCAAGATTGCAAGTATCTCCTAATGAGCTGGGCTCCTTAAAGTAGAATCCAACGTCCTTTTTTGACCCTGGGTGCTTAATAGCATCTAGACGCTGGCAAGCGAGCCTGCTCCGAGCTTGTTCTCTGGAGAACTATTCACCTGTGGCCATTGGGGATTCCTTGTCTGCCTCATCCTAGTTCAGGGTGTCATTCCCCCTCTGCTTATGGTCCTTTGACCAGCCTCGGTTCGCCTGCTCATTTTGCCCCATCCTACAATTACAAAAGAGAGTCTTCATGGTGTTCTGCGTGAAGGCTCACAAGGAGGACATGAAGGCTCTTCTTCACAATTGTCTGCTCCCTTTCCTAGCCCTCTGATGGTCCCCCCGCCCTCGTTTCGCCCCTGCATTTGCACAGGTTGTCTACCAAGGAGCTCTGCAGTTGAGATCCATGAACCGGCATTGCAGCTCCTCGCCCCTAGATTGCTGAGTGAAACTACTTCTCATTGAGGCAGAAAAGTCCAAATGAAGAACTTTTAGAGCTAGTTTGCCTTCACCCCCTCAAGCCCCATGACTCAATTGTCCCCTTTTACCAGCTTCTATATTCATATTCTGAGGTTTAGGAGCTACGCACAGACCATGGCAGAATGCATTGTCAGTTTTCCCCCCTTGCTCTATCTGCTGGCCACACAATTTCCGGCCATTAAATTGGCTCTCCCTTTAGCCCCTGCTCGTTTCAACCACTCTTGTGTGCAGGTTGTGTAGCAGAGAATAACGTATCATTAAAAGGGGAAGAAGAGAATGCTGTGCCATTTCAATCCTTCAATTGTTGCCTGCGGACTCGTATTTGCATGTATGCAGGTTTGATCACAAGGACGTTGTACACGGTTCCAAGCCACGTTGATTGGGCAGCTGCCTCTTTTTTATTCCAAAAGTTTTTGTTGCAACTACTTTGCGACGGCATATCTTCCCTACTTATTTCACCCCCCAAAAAGGAGACACTAATATCCCCCCATTTTCCATGCAGGATTGACTATCAGGACATTGTGTACTATTCCGAGCCCAAGAAGAAGGACGTCAAGGCGAGCCTCGACGAGGTGGACCCCGACCTGCTCGCGACATTCGAGAAGCTCGGCATCCCGCTGTCTGAGCAGAAGCGCCTCTCCAACGTCGCGGTTGACGCCGTTTTCGACTCCGTGTCCATCGCCACGACGTTCCGCAAGGAGCTGGCGCAGGCGGGCGTCATCTTCTGCTCCATATCCGAGGCTGTCAGAGAGTACCCGGATCTCATCAAAGAGTACCTCGGCAGCGTCGTCCCGCCGGGCGACAACTTCTTTGCGGCGCTCAACGCGGCGGTCTTCTCGGACGGCTCCTTCTGCTATATCCCGAAGAACGTCGAGTGCCCGATGGAGCTCAGCACGTACTTCCGGATCAACGATTCGGACACCGGGCAATTTGAGCGCACGCTCATTGTCGCGGAGGAGGGCAGCAAAGTCAGTTACCTCGAGGGGTGCACGGCGCCGTCGTTCGACACGAACCAGCTGCACGCGGCGGTGGTCGAGCTGTACGCGCACAAGAACTCGGAGATCAAGTACAGCACGGTGCAGAACTGGTACGCGGGCGACGAGGAGGGGGTCGGCGGGATCTTCAACTTCGTGACCAAGCGCGGGCTGTGCGAGGGCAAGAACGCCAAGATCTCGTGGACGCAGGTGAGAAATCTGTTTTACCAATTGTGTCTGATGAGGGAAGAGCAATAGGGAGGCGGCCAAGAAGGGCTTCTCAATCTGTCTGGTTAGGTTTCAGCAGTCTCGTGTGTTTGTACACACGCATGTGTGGCGGTTTTAGGGGCTGGCGGGACACTGAAGGAACCGGTCAAAGGGATAATACAGGGGGGTCGGATTAGAAGGAGTGTGGCAATCAACAGCCATCACGTGCTAATTGTGTGCTAGCTCTGGCTCAATCCTGCTTCTGCATGTCGTCAGCATGTCGTCAGGCTTTTGAATGTGACAAGTGGTGGGCGCCGGGGCGGGCTACCCCTGCTCCGCTTTCGTGAGTGTAGTCATTGAGGGCTACTCAATCTGCTTCTCTCACCCTCTTCTCTTAGACCGGAGTAAGGCAGCGAATCCGGTTCTTAACCCTTTCCAAACCCCGCTTTTTAACCCAGGTCGAGACCGGGTCCGCCATCACGTGGAAGTACCCCTCCGTCGTCCTCAAGGGCGACAACAGCATCGGCGAGTTCTATTCGGTCGCGCTGACCAACAACCGGCAGCAGGCTGACACCGGCACCAAGATGATCCATGTCGGCAAGAACACGCGCAGCCGCATAGTGTCAAAGGGCATCTCCGCCGGGAACTCGGTCAACTGCTACCGGGGGCTCGTCCAGGTGGCGCCGACGGCGCACGGGGCCCGGAACCACTCGCAGTGCGACTCGATGCTGATTGGCGACCAGGCGGGGGCCAACACGTACCCCTACATTCAGGTACGGAAAAGATGGTCAACTTCGACGGGTCGAGTATGAGGTCTTAATCCTGGCCCTTGATTTTGGTCTTGATCGTGGCCTAGACAAGGAGGGGTTTGCGTAGAAGTTTCTGGTCGTAGCTGGTCGCGTTGGTTGCCAGATTGAAAGGCAACGGCTTCCTCTTCCTCACTTGTATGGAGCTTGTCAGGTTGAAAAGTAGGTTTGGATATCTGTGACTGTGCTAAGCAGCTGCCGTGCGGAAGAAGATTCGTCTATGCACATGCACCAGACCGCAATGTATCAGCACTCTTGAGTGCAGATACTTGTCCGACCCTCCGACTCACAATCCTGAAGCTCTTTGGATGCTCGGAAGTCGTGTGGCGTTTCTTCAATCCTGTCTGCTATTGTTTATCTGGTTGACCACGAGCTTTGCAGACCAATCAGAAGCAAGCTGGCTGATTGTGAAACCCGTTCTCTACAGGTGAAAGACCCGACGGCGCGCGTCGAGCACGAGGCGAGTACCTCCAAGATCGGGGAGGACCAGCTCTTTTACTTCCAGCAGCGGGGCATCGAGGCCGAGAAGGCCGTGGGCATGATTATTAGCGGCTTTTGCAGGGACGTGTTTAACGAGCTGCCACTAGAGTTTGCCGCCGAAGTTAACCAGCTGATGAGTCTCAAGCTGGAGGGCAGCGTGGGATAAGCGGTGCCGTCGGGTGGTCGGTACTGCTGTCTGTGCATAAACTAGATTGTGGACGTAAGTCCTGAACCAGCCGTTGATTTTTTCCGACCAAGCTGTAAAATATACTTGATTGCGTGGTCTTTCGAAAGATGTTGTGTTTCCACCCTCTGGCATTCGGAAGAAAAGATATGACCTCTTGATGTGTAGCATGGTGGTTATCTGGCATGCATGATACGATTGATGCCTGACGGTTGTTGGTATGTTATTAATCGCTGTTGGACCAGATCGAACAGAAAGCTAGGCAAATATAGATGGCAGCCGCAAGCATGCGGGCCATGCATGCACATGAGGCATTGCAGAATTCAACAATCAGCTTATTCTGCATCAAGTCGAGACGCTTCTGTATGACCTGCTGCCTTAAAAGGGTGGCCGTGCCATTTTGCTTTTGAAAAGGCGCCGTCCAATTATGTGAGGATCACGGCATAATCACAAGTTGTCAAGTTATGTTGCTCCAATCTTCGGACCCGCCTCTACAATGTGCTCTGATTGACTCGCTACTGATAAGTTCTCAGGAGGTTAGAAGTATGTCTAAGGATCTCGGGTAACTTCAGTTGAGGAAGCTGCCCAGCGAGCCTAAGGCATCGATGCGCACCTGTCGAGAGATTCAGAGCGGATCGGACCGTGCAAGCAGCACGGTCTTATGCCCAGAATCGTAAGAAGTGTACTTAGAGCGCCAGGGCCAAGAACTAGCCCCGCAACTACACTCTGGCCGGGGTTGACTGACCTGAACTTCTAGGGAATCTACCCAACGTCCGACATCAGATTCTTGTAGAATTTTCATGGCAGGACCCCAAACCTGACCTGATCCAACTCTTAACATCCACGGTCACAATTGACCGAGGTCGACCCGGGTATGTATGTTTAGTATATGAACATGCCGGTAACCAGGCGGCACGACGTTGTAAGGCGTGCTCCAATTTCCCAATCAGTCTTTGTCAACCTTGCGTTCCGGTGGTTTTGACGACTCTATCTCCGGCCGCTTTGAAGCCGACCTGCAAAAAGGATAGAATAACAAACCTTTCAGACACAAGATACCTTACTTCTACATTGCCCTTTTGAATTAGCCTTGCGCCGCAGCAATCTCCAAGCTCTTGCTTGTATCAGAAGCTGGATATCTAGACTCGGTTGTAGGAGCGGCTTTATTCGTTAGATTGCTTGGAGCCATCAACGAGCCACTCTGCTTCATCAGTCAACAGGTCAACAGCCATCCAGCAACTTATTGGAAGGTCAATTGTTCAGCAATGCGTCTATTGAAGTGTCGCCCAAGTCTTTGCCCGCCCACTGGGCTTCGTTGCAAACAAAGTCGTTATTGCGGATTCTTCGCACAGGGAGAAGTGTTGTTTTAGAGGTTTGATAAAAGATCGTATCTTCAGAAGCCTCGATATGTGAACGTTGATAAGCTTCTTTGTTTGAGCAGCTTACACTCCACTGCCTAAACCACATACCAACCCAGTTCTTTTAGAAGTATCGACGCCTTCACCGAACAATACCAGAGTCCATCAATAGAATGTCAGAGGATTTATAGAGACCCCCAAGCCTGCCCCACGCCAGCTGCACAACATACAACTCTGATTGTTGTACTCCACTTGGTTAGCAGTGCCTACTGAACCTTGTGGATCTTAAACCCTTGTTTACGGGGCAGCTAACCGGTCTCCAACTCAACAAAAGGGGACCTACGAACCACTGACCAGACTTTCTGCACCGCACCTCCTCCCAAGACAACTAAAAGAAGGGCGTTGGGGGGCTGGTCCTCCTATGTGACCATTTGGCCGAGGCTCCGCTCTGGCGGTCACCTTAAAACATATATAATTTCGAATCCGCAGCGACAGTCAGTCACATCGCCTAATCTGTGTGTCGTTGGAGAGCCACATAGGGGCACGCCCTCCTTAGACCTCCTGAGATGCCCAAAATCACACCACTTACTTTTGAGCTGCTGCGCTCTCGGCCTCTAGCCACTCCCTTACGCTCCGCACGTTCCGCCTCAGGATCGAGGCCGTCTGCTTGACATCGCCTCTTAACATCAGGGCGACCGCGCCGACGGCGGCCACTGTGATCACAAAGTTTGTGATAGCCATTTTCTTCTCAAACAGGAACCTGCTCAGAAGAAAGCGGGTATGCAAGGTAAGATGGTAAGCACAGATTGGGGGCTAATAGCCGATTGTATTCCATTGTTGCTTAATCACAGAGGACCTGGGTAGCAACTCTTTAGACTGTCTACGCCAGACAGAAAATCAACCACCTGATCAGAGTGTACTAGTATTGTAATCGTGATGAAGGACCTGTTTCAAGGGCAACTCGGAGGATTGAGGGGGGTCGCCTTTTCACATGCCGTGAGTCAGTTGGAGCATCAGAAATCATCTTTCTAACCAGATTGAGTGTTCCAAAGTGCAATTGTCCAGTGTCCGATCTGAAGCCAAGTTGGTTGTCGAAAGAACCACGTCATCCCCTATATCTCAATGAAAGCGAACCCAATGGTCATAGTAAACCTCTGATGCGCCCCGGCGGCAGACTCATGAAAGCTGCGGCAGTCGAGCGGCGCCTGTGCTTTGCCTCGGCGCCCATACACAACAAGTGTCAAAAGTGTGCAGCACTTCCAACACATTCACGTTTCACACTTGCTGTATCGTGCAAATGCTGCGCGATTGTGGGCCTCCAGAGACCAGAACCATTCCAAATCTGGGAAATGATCTGGTGCTCTGTGCCTAAGCTCTACGGGTACCCACCTGACGCTGCACGCGCTTGATTGTCGTCGCCCCCCTGCGAGTTTCTGTCGTGATATCTGTCGCGAAATCGTGCCCCAGGGAAGAAGGTCTACCTATGCAGATTCAACCTGAAAACAAGGACTAGCTTCAGCAAGGACAACCGCTTTCCGTGTCCCTTTTAATACCTCCATTGGCATCATCCCGTTCCATTGCGCATGGCATTGACGTTCTTCTGTTTCTTCTTTGAAGCCTCGACTTTAAATTTTGTTTTGAGCTCAAGCTGACGAAGGCGCGCGCTAGGCAATTGCCATTCCGGCCGCAGTGACTTGCGTTCCGTACCGGAATGCTTGGAGTCCGGTCGGTCGACGCTTCTCATACGTTGCTTCCGGACTCGGTGCGCGGAACAGACTCGACGGATCAAAACCCTCTGCCGAATGATCCCTGTGCGTCCGTCCGTCTGGCGGCCCGCGCGCCGCGCATATATAGCGCGCACTGCGGCATGTAGTAACGTATACGTCAACCGTAATCTGAGGGAATTGAAGGGGAGCAAGGGCACAAGCGACATGCAGCGATTCGGGCCCTCTCGCTGTTTCAACGCGCATGGGCCTTTGAACTGAACCTACAGTGATACAGTACCTAGGTTTTCTAGCAAAAAGAATGGCGGGCCAATTCAAGAACTTCAACATAATCATGACTATCATGGGAGGAAGCGCCGTATACCTAGGAGCTACCATGGCAATGGGACAAAGCAAAAGGGCCCTGGCGCAAAGCCCTGCCAAAAGCGTCGGAATTCTTTACTGCTGAAAGGAAAGCGATCCACAACAGCGATTCGTTCACGACTGCTGAAACTTCAGAGACGCTTCTCGTATTGTTTACGAGAAGCACCAGCAGAGGCACGCAATGAGTAACCCACGTCGCCTCCAGACTGCGCTTGAACGGCTCACTACCCACTCTCTTTCCAATCAGATATGCAGGAAGACGGCAGGGAGGACCTCAGGAGGCAAAGAGCAGGTGGAGTCTGAGGGTGAAGAATGAAGGTATGTTACAGCATCTAGGGCTAGAAAAAGCAGTCGGTTTCGCATGCTTCGGCCTGTTGGCTTCACATGATTCCTGTTGCTGTTGCCGCATATGTGCTCATTCTTCGTTGCTTCATCAATTCACATAGAAGCATGTAGATGAATCTCGCATGCTTCAAACTTTTAGTCCGTCCCCTTTATCCAGGCAACGAAGGAATGATTGAGTGGGCAAGGGCAGTCGTCAAAGTCTGGTGGTCGAGCGAGAACCGAGTGGGTTGGTGAAGTGTTTATTATGAAGATTCACTAGTTTATAATTGTTCCAGAACCCGTTCACTGTAGGCTCCGCCGGATTGGCCTGTACGTTGAAACGGATGCTTAACTCAATCCCGTAGAAACGAAGTATGCTTGCGAAGATGAAAGAAAGAAGGACTTCGATTCGGGTGAAGGACTCCGCTCGATGTGAAGGACTCCGCTCGATGTCCGAGATCGTTCATCATGTCCGGCCCAAAGTCTCCAGCCGCATATACGGTTTTAAGTTGCCTGATGTAGACAGACACCGTTGAATCTGATCTATTCGGCGGAGCTCCACGGAGAACCTTATCAGGAGATTGGACCTTCAGTTTTTTGCGTATCTCTGCTTCGAAGCTGGAATCCATCGCCGTGAAACCGCCTCGTTGTTACTAATCTTTATAGATATTTTTTGTGAGATACAGACGTCTTAAAGTCGATCTGGATTGAAGCGCTTTCCATTGTACTGGATCTTACCCAAGAACATTGACCAGTTGCTAGCGGTCATAACCGTCTGCGGCTGAGTGACAGAAGTCAAGAAGTAATCTCGAGGTATCAATCGAAGGGTTCGATGAAGATACTTGCTCAGCATCTTTGTTAGAGGGATTCGATCCCCGTCTTCGAAGACGAGTTTGTAATCTCCCTTGCGTTGTGAGGTCTGCAGCAAATAGCTTGCACCCTCGATCTGTTGGCCCTTCCGCAGGATTGGAAGCTCGTGCAATTTTACCCGACGACGATGCTCCTTACTCAGAAGCATATGCCATTCGAGGACGAGATGCCACATACAGATCTTCACCTCCTTAGGAGTGAGATCTCGATTCATGTCTTCGAGACTCAACTGTCTGACCTTGCGTGCGAGCTTCTTTCCGAATGTTTCGACCTCTTCAACGGTCATCTCTGATGTGGCGTCCGAGGTCTTGGTCTCAATCTTTCGTTGAGCGGACTCCTTCAGAGCCTTGTTTTCCTTCCGAAACGGCTCATAGTAGGTTTGATAAGCCTCCGCATAACCGAGTTTGCGGCAAATAGCAAGAAAAGGGGCTAAGCGAGTACGCCTGCTTCCAGGGTTATCATAGCGCTCTAGAACAGCTGCAACGATCTTCTGAGCCTTACTCTTTATCCACGAAGGGTCCTCGGGCATTTTATCCTCGAAAACCATGTTCCATAGAAGATGAATCCCCTTGAGATACTGCTCTGTGGAACTCTCGGTCCTAATCCCATCAGCTAAGACCTTCCGTAGAGCATCCATAGTTATCACCCGTCTACGATGATGCAAGAACATATTTTTATAATGTCTTCCATTTCGCAACAAGTTATTTCAAAAAGGTCGGTCACAATAAAATGACATCGAAACCTCTCCTAAACGATTACTTTTTTGAAACTGCGTGCGGGGGGCCGAAAATTGTTGAGAAATCTCGAGATTTCTCAACAGAATAACTAGTTATTTAAAAAGCACTTGACACTTTTTCACTGTCTCTCCGCCTGCGTTTCACACCATATACAATGTATAATATTGCTTGTAGCAGAGATTGTTGAATTTGCATAATATGAAATGCATTAGGGGGCGGGATTATTTTGTTCGAAACTATCATGACAAGTTGCATCAGAGGCCAGTCGATATGGAATCCACGAAACGAAGCTTTCGGGTGATTGCTGCCTACGATGCGAAGGGGAATGATGCGCTTGCTCTGGTGAAGGATACACGACTCGAGATCGACGCCAACAAGGGGCGCGTCTGTCAGGCAGGAGCCCGCGCAGGGTCCCAACTCTTTCGGACACAGAAATGTCAGGGGAAAAAGGTTTCCCTTCCACAGAGGGTGGTGGTCCTTATAAAAGAGACTACAAGAGGTTCAACAAATAAAAAGTATGGGTACTCCGTCGAGATCGGTCCGGTCAAGAAGTGTGACCGCCCGACTGGTTTGCCATTTCAAGGGACGTTTCAGAGCATAGCAACAAAGATGGAAGTCGAAGACATCGAGAATATGAAGCTCCGAAAGAAGTCTTCTAAGACGATTAAAGCCACCCAGAAGCCCAAGGCTAAATCCACCCGGAAGAAGCCTGACCCAGCAAAGACAACGGAATCAGTTGATTCCAATTCCGATTCAGACTCGGATTGATTGCGTCATGGAGATCCGGTCCTGAGTCCACCGTTTGAGAGCGCCATGTGGCGGTCAGGACATTTGGTGTCTTAGTCAGAAGTTGCCTTCAATGGATTGCAGAGTGTAGCATGGCGACTCCAATCAACTTTCCGATTTCTTGCCACGTCAGCAAATTCGAGTCCGGAAGCTAGTACACATGCCCGCCGATCTAGAAAACACATCGATGAGCACCATGACACGCGCATTTGCTTACTGAACTTGATTGCGTGCTAACACCCTACTCATCAAGGACTACACAATTTGTCTATCAGAAGTGCTTAATCTCAAGACGAAATATTGCTCTTCCTAGCATGCGTAAGGGACGCGAGATCAAAAACTACTCCTATCCCCGCTATTGTGAACATGCTACCAATGGGATTCCGATTTGGAACGAGACAACAAGCAAGATATAAACTGGTCCACACCATCCTAGAACACTTTCGACTCATCGCCAAATGCCATCTGCAATGCGCGCACCACGCACACCACAAAGATAGCCTATTCAAATCGCTCGACTTGCACCTCACACTCGAGCAGCATCGAGCGCGTGCTCGAATCCCATAACCGCCAAGAGCTCCCTAGCCATGGCTGCCATCTGAGGAGGGTACATATGCCGCCCAATCTCGTTTTTGTCGTACTTGAAGTCTCGGTCAACCACTTGCTCCAGGAAATCGAGGGCGTGGATCGGCTTCGGCCCGAAGGTTTGCAAGAACTCCTCGCTAAGGTATGGCACGTCGTAGAACCGTGCCAGCTGAAACTTCTCCATCTGCACTAACTCCCCCTCGCGATGTTCGTTTCTTTGGGACCGCCGTTCAATGTCGGCGAACTGGGCTTGCGAGATGTTAGGGGCGCTGATCATCTGCTCCAAGAGATACTCGCCCCCAAAAACCCCTTCTTCCGAGGGGACCGGGTTCACTTCGACCGCCTCTTCGTCTACGTTCTCGACGATGACGTGGCCGTCCGCCCTCAGCAAGTCTGTGAACTCCTGGTAGAAATGCGTCTGTCCGTTGAACATCTCCTTCTCGTTGTGAGCGAGAAGACGGGTTATTGGATGCACACAGTTCAGCCCGCCCCTTAGATTCTGGTTGAGGAACCACTGGTAGGTCTCTTCGACCCCCAGCCTTGCCTTGCTACCCGACCTGCTCATCTCCATCAACGACCCACCCACTGACGGCCCCGCGGGTTCGGCGGGCAACCAGATGCCCTCCTGGAGATAGCACAGGACCCGTGGATTCTCCAACTTCCGTACACGGCCCTTCATCTGATTGAGCCCCCGAGGGTGGGTGCTCTTCAGGCAGATGTACAGGAACATCTGGTGAAACCAGTCCTGGTTGAAATCCACGCCTGCTTCGACCGTGGGGCTGATGATTACAAGCTGTTTCCGCCACTGCCTGTTCACATCCTGCAACCCTCGTTTGACTGCACCGTCCGAGTGCCGAGTGATGATGAGATCTGATCGCTCTCGACCAGACCGCGCTCCTCGACCGCCGCCCCCAACTCTCGCACTTTTTCTGAGGACATGCTCACGATATAGACGTTGCGCCCAGCCCCAAGCGCCTCGAAAACCGCCCCCTCCCACTTGACAAGCCCCTCGGTCTTGCCCTGAAGGAACTCAAACTCGAGGGGCCTCTCTGGAGCATGTTTGTTGACCACCACGGGGGAGCAGGATATCTCGTTCATCGTTAGGAACTCAAACGTCCGTTGCCCCAAATGCCCGTCCAGGAAGATGATCCGCCGCGCTCTTTTCATCAACTCGATAAGGAGCTGAATGACTCTGTGCCTCTCGCGAAGCGTGTCCGCCGACAGATGTGCCAAAATCGACTCGCTCTCGTCCAGGACGAGCAGGTCAAACGAGGGGGCGTCCTCGTCGTCTTCAGCAAGCAGCCCGGGCAAGCTGTCAGTTTGGACGATGACGCGGGGATGGTGTTCCCGGTCGGCGAGGGGGTGGATGAAGCGGTCGGGGCCGAGCATACGCCCATCCGCCTGCTTGAGATCTCCGTAGTGGGAGAAGCTCTGGTGCTTGCCTGCCGCGTCGAGAGCTTGCGTGCAGCGATAGGTGATCATGGAGACCTTCTTGAATCGTGAGTCTTCGGCTAGAAGAGCCGCAAGAAGGGTGCTCTTGCCGCTCCCCATGGGGCTCCTGATCGACAGATTTTTGTACCGGCCCTCCAGCCACCTGCACAAAGAAGTGAGATAGAGTCTTTGGATCCGTCTTCCGAAGCCGGCCGACTGGCAAGTGATGCAGCAATATTCCTTTCCTAACATATGGCCTACACCTTGCAGATGGCAGAAGACTGGATTCCTTATTTCCCATGACAAGGTGTGGGCCCGTTCAAATGTTTTAGCCACTCATTTCAAGCCACTCCAAACCCACGAATCTGCTTCTGAACCGGCCCAGCAGCCACTTCTCCTCACAGCTATCCATAGAGGACCTGGCCTACACCTTGCAAATGGCAAAAGGCTGGATTCCTTATTTCTATTGACAAGGTGTGGACCAGAGGCAGGGCACGTGCCCAAAGTCGGGTTTTGCCAACCTCGGCCCGGTGTCCGGTCGGGCTTGCTTATGGCCTACACCTTGCAGATGGCGAAAGACTGGTTTTCTTACCAGCATGAAAAGGTATGGCCCCGTTCACCAAACCCTGAAAGTGGGGGACCAGCGACAAAACAAAAGGACTCCACCAGAATGTCAAGTCGACCATTAAAACCGAGACTGAAACCGAGCGTGTACGAACTCACTTGTTCACGATGTCATTGAAGACGACCTTGTCCGTCAGAGGGCGGACCCCGGCGCGAATCAGCTGCAGGTCCATGGGCGCGGCAGCCAGCGGGTGTCGATCCAGGTACTTCAGGTCGACCTCGACAGCACCATCCTTCCAAGTTTCGTTGTCCACCCAGTAGGGCCCAAGGTACTTGGCCGGCAGGTTCTTGCAGCAGACACCCGTCTCCAGATCGACCCGCTCGCTGCTGCACACCGCGAACACGGCGTTCCTCTCGCGATCCGCGACACAGAGGATGTCCCGCTCCCCGGCATGCACGTGCCCCGAGTAGCACGGCTCGCTCCGATCGTGCCAGCTGAAGTTCAACGCGTTTGCCGACCCCCTGCGGTACGCCGTCGGGTGCAGTTTCTGGATGAGCTCCGTGCACCGTTGTACCTCATACATGCTCGCAGCTCTGGGGTTTAGGTGGCCTGGATTCTCTGGCCTCTCGCGCGCGCGCACCGCTCGAAACACGACGTCAGGGACCTTGATCATTTGAACGTGGTCATCGAACCAGGTGATGCAGGCGTCCGCGTACGGCTTGCTCTCGTCCAAGGGGATCAGCCGGCTCTGAGGGTTAGAGGGTTTGGAGCAGTAGGGGAGTCGGATCCCCCGGTTCCTGGTGTAGACCGACTGGTCGATCAGCTCGGCATAACGGTTGGGCAAGTGCTGGCCGAGCTTTCTCGCGAGATGCCCCGCTCCTTGAGGGTCCGCCGGGGGCGCCAGGTTGGAGCGGTAGACAAACTGGGGGGAGTGGGAGGAGACGACTAGGTGCAGGCTGAACTTGCCGCCCGGCCCATAGTCGCAGGGGATCCAGTTGAAGGCTTCCTTTGGAAGCTCGATGCCGTACTCCGAGCGGAAGATGGCCGTGATTTCCTCCTCAAAGGCCTCAATGACCGTTTCGAGGGACTCTCCCTCTGGCAGGCCCCCGTCTCGTTCCAGATCCAGGTACGGCTTGCAGGGACACCCCGCTTTGATGGCCTCTTCCAAGTGAGGCTCGCCGCGCAGTTTGGGGTAAGCCGAGGGCCAATCCGGGTAAGACCCGAACTCCCGGGAGGGACGCAGGCGACGGATCTCGACCTGATGGCCGAGCACTTCCCCGTAACGACGGCAGCAACCCTGCGGCCCGTTCTTCGCGTCCTGGTAGTCGACCTTATCGTCGAACTTGCGCTTGGCAAAGAAGAAGGCGCCCAGCTCCGTCTTCTTGATGGTCAGCAACTTCCCGCCGTGCTCGCTGTGGACCACAATCTCGCCGGGGCGCAATCGAGGGTCCGCTGATGAGGCATCCTGCACGAAAGAAACCAGACCGAGTCACTGCTGGGAGACGTACAGCGGCCGCGGGAATCCGTACTTAGAGAAGCGCTGTTCTGAAGAGAGGCAGAATCTCATGTCTTTACACCACAGCAGCTGGTGCTGGTGCCGAATCTCACTAAGCTTGACCGCAATGATAAAGGGGTTTGCGTCAGGGTAAGGATGTTCCGAGAAGCAGCCTTGGGGCATTCGACGATCTTCGTCAGATAGACAAGTGCGGTGATACGAAGTCGATTGGCCGCCCCTGCTGAAGGGGTTCATAGAAGAATGGCCACTTCGAGGATTGAAATCCGGGCTCACTCACTACTTAGCATGGTCCAGGTAGGTTACGTAAGCTCATGTCCGTTGACAAGGTACAAACGGGATGAGAATGTTTTCTGCACAATTGGGACTTACAGCTTCTACTAAAGCCCAGGTCGCGGATTGAGAAGGCGGGTCGAAGTCGGGGGTTGCGCTGGGCTCGCCAGCTTCTGCACCGGGGGGCAGGCTTGCTGCGCTACTGAGATGGTCGGAAGGGATCCCTTGGAGCCGCTGCCGTACATCTTGGCCCCTCTCAAGTTCCTGCAAAATCGCGAATGCTGGAATCAAACGCTCACAATCGAGCCTGCCCTCGATTTTCAGAACACCGCTTGCTGTGGCCTACACCTTGCAGATGGTAGAAGACTGGTTTCCTAATTTCTAATGACAGTGTGTGGACCAGATGAGGACCAGAGGCGGGGCACGTGCTGTGGCGAGGGGCAAAACTTATGGCCTACACCTTGCAGATAGCGCAAGACTTGAATTCCTTATTTCCATTGACAAGGTATGGACCAGAGGCGGGGCACGTGCACACAGTAGATTTGCCAACCGCGGCGTGCGGTCGGGCTTGCTTATGGCCTACACCTTGCAAATGGCAAAAGACTGGTTTCCTTATTTCCAATGACAAGGTGTAGACCAAGTTTTTAAAGGAAGAGACGGGCCCTCACCCACCATCTGCAATTTCCACGAGCTTGCATTGCATGGTTCAGCCGGGCTTTGTAAGCTCAGGTCAAGCGAAGAGTTTGACGGAATCGAATGCCTTTGCACGGTCGGAACTTACATCTCCAACTGAAGCGCAGGTCGCGAGTCGAGAACGCGGATCGAAGTTGGGGGCTGCGCTGGGCTCGCCAGATTCTGCAACGGGGGACCGGCTTGATGCGTCACTGGAACTCTCTGCAGGGATCCCTTGGAGCCGCTGCTGCGCATCCTGGAGCCTCTCGAGTTCCTGCGTAACGTGCACACTGGATCTAACACTCGCATCCGAGCTTATCCTCATACCGCTTGCTTTGGCCTACACCTTGCAAATGGGAAAAGGCTGGGTTCCTTATTTCTAACAACAAGGTGTGGACCAGAGGCAAGGCACGTGCCTACCATCGATTTCTGCCAACCGCTGTGTGGTCGGGCTGGCTTATGGCCTACACCTTGCAAGTGGCAAAAGGCTGGGTTCCTTAATTCTAATGACAAGGTGTGGACCGGAGGCGGGGGAGTGGGCGCCCACCACGCCCATCCGCGCTCTGGCTCGAGCTTGCGTCCTAGTCCGACCCAACACGTCGGACCCAAGGCTGACACTGATTTTTGATGCAGTGCTTGACCGTGTATGCCTAACCGCTCATGATCAGTCCTGACACCCGCCCGACCATGCATGCCAAGCCCGCATGCCTGACCTTTAAAAGATCTATGAAAGTCTCTTAACAACGCAGCATGTGCGTTCTCTGGTACCGCCAGCCTCACCTCAGCCTGCCCAAGGGCCTCGTGTGGACTGTGCTGGATCGACTGCCGCATCGCGCTGTCGAAGTGCCTGAAATCATAGGAAGCATATGGGTGAAAACATCAGCGATTATCGTAAAAATTGAGACGATTTGCTGTCTCGAGGGACGTTTCTGCAGCTGATCAGTCGACCTGCACCCGCACGCACAGACACGACGAGTCATTCAAGAGCAGAGGCTCACTCGCCACCCTGCCGGTCCTCCTCGCCAACTTCGGCCACTGTCACGTCCATGCCCGAGCGCTCCCGCAGGGCCTCGGCCGCGACTGCCACTTGGGCGGGTCGATGGCCCCCTCCCTGCACCTCAGGCATCCGCCGCATCGTCGCCTGCAAAACCAGCGAGTGCGTCTTTTCCATCCGATCTCGAAGGTAGCGGCTTTCTCTGCCTACGTCTAGATTCTGCTTTCTAGACGATGCTTCGACATCGGAGTCAGATGCAGGTAAACAGCAGAAAACAGATCAGCATTTTGGGGAGACCAGAGGCGGGGCACGTGCCCACCGTCGGTTTTGCCAACCGCGGGGTGCGGTCGGGCTTGCTTATGGCCTACACCTTGCATATGGCGAAAGCCTGGTTTCCTTATTTCCAATGACAAGGTGTAGACCAGAGGCTCATGCCTACCATAGCCATCCGGCTTGAGCTTGCGTCCAAGTCTTACCCAACATGTCGGACTCAAGCCTAATACTGATATTGTTGCACTGCCTGACCCTGCATGCCTGACCCCTCATGATCGGTCCTGACATCCGCCTGGCCCTGCCTGCCAAACCCGCAAGCCTGACCGTTGACGAATTATGACTGTCTCGAACAATAGCACGTGCTTTTCTCTTGTAACGTCAGCCTCACCTCAGCCTGCCTGAAAGCCTCCCGTGGGCTGTGCTGGACGGACTGCCGCACCGCCTTATCGAAGTGCCTGCAACGATCGGAAGCATGTGGGTGATAACCTTGGCGATTAGCGTGAAGGACGTTTTGCTGTCTCGAGTACGTTTCTGCAGCTGATCTGCACCCGCACGCACGGACACGACGAGTCATTCAAGAGCAGAGGCTCACTCGCCACCCTGCCGGTCCTCCTCGCCGACTTCGGCCACTCTCGCGTCCACGCGCGAGCGCTCGCGCAAAGCCTCGGCCGCGACTGCCTTTTGGGCGGGTTGATGCAGCCCTCCCTGCGCCTCAGGCATCCGCCGCGCCGTCGCCTGCGAAACGAGCGAGTGCGTGTTTCTGTCCGATCTCGAAGGTGGCGACTTTTTCTGCCCATGCCTAGCTTTTGTTTTCGTAAGATGCTCCAATATCGGAGTCGAATCCAGATGAACGGCAGCAAGCAGATGAGCATTTAGGGGAGATGTGCACGGAAGGCTGCATTTGGCTGCAAGGGATTCCAACCGCAAAAACGCAAAGCGACAGCACTGACGAGTGCGCCCGCGAGGGATGCGAGTCGCACTCCTATATCAGCCGGATGAGTTCGCACCTCCTGCCTGTTTTGATGGGGCCTCAATCCCTCTAGAGTCCGGAAATGAGCCTCACGAGCCGCCCAGATCTCCGCCCGAGCCGCCTCGTCCATCGGGGGAGGAATCGGCTTCGCACGCTTGCTGTGGGTGAAGGGAGAAGAAGAATTCGAGTCAATGACGGGCCAAGACTCCTCAGCCACAGGCCTGCTACCCTGCAAAAAGCCGTCTGCACCAGGTCCCTATGTCGACTCGAGAGGCCTCTCTGTGCTCAGTGACCCAGTCAAACTGATTCCTAACCAGGATCACTGGCAAAAGTCGAACCCGAGATGACGAATGAGGGGACAACGAGCTTACTGTGACGTCTTCTTCACCGGTTGACCAGCCTTTGGCACCACCGATCTTGATCCCCCTGCTGCTTCAACCTGGGGGGAAGCAATATGGCGGAAGGGTGGGCAAGTATTGAAGCTGTGCACGGCCACTGCCACGAGGAAGACCTAGGGCTCCCTTATGAGGTTGTCGAAAAGCGGCCGGTCAGGATCGAGCGAGACGTATGCAAGCGCCTCTACGCTAAGGAAATCGTTTCACATCCTATCCTCCTACTGACAGTGAACGGTCTCACCCTACGAGCGAGCTCTTTTCTGGAACGAGGAAGGGTAGTTCTACAACCACGAGGGCTGGTTGGAGTACCTAATTTCGCACTGCTCTGCCGTGTGGGGAGTGAAGCTGAGCGGGACATCGAGTGGAAGGGGGCGACAGAGCCTCGACTGGAGTCGAGGGCCGTATCATCCTCGAGATGCCCATTTTCTGCACAAGAATGCGAGTGGACTCACCAAAGGTGTAGGCTCCGTAGCAGCAGAGCGAAGCTCATCGGCAGGATGCGGAGGAGCGGGGGAAGGGCCCGGGTTCTGCATGACAAGAAAAAGCCTAGGGTCTTAGGAGCAACCGGCATGGATGTGAGGCAACTCTAGAGGATAGAATATTACTGCAATGCAAGGGAGAGGCTCGGAAGTGGTCAATCGAAACCCGAGAGTAGCAGTGTCGTTCGCATTTCGAAACCTTCCTGGACAAGAACCCGGGACACAGACGAGGCACCTTTTCGAAGCGTTTACCTTTGCAGCACTTCAAATGCGTCAAGGACACTGTCTAAGTCTGGCGCAGACGACGGCTGATCTAGCCTCCGGCATCGAGAATCAGTAAATGGTCCAACTCACATGCGGCTCCCCAGCAGCGGACCCCGTGGACTGCTGACACACATCATGACCATCGCTTGTTGCCACGCCAAGTTCCTGCACATGAGCGTCGAGCGAAATCCCCTTTTGCATATGGCCACACCTTGCAGATGGGGAGAGACTCGATGTCTGCACCGATGACGATGTGTGGACTAGTGAGAAAGAGAGAGAAGAGCGAAATGCCCATCATCGGTTTTGAATATCGCAAAGTGTGGTCGGGCTTGCTTGTGTGGCCTACACCTTGCAGATGGCAAAAGCCTGGATTTCTTAATACCAATGACAAGGTCTAGACCCGATTCTCAAGAAGCATGACGCATGCCCATTTTCGGCTCTGAGAACCGCGGGCTTTCGTCGGGCTTGCTTATGGCCTACACCTTGCGATTGGCAGATTAACTTGGTTCCCTATCCCCAATGAAAGGTGTGGACCCGATTTTCGCCCACCATCTGCGCTTTGGATCGAGCTTGCATCGCCTGGTCCAAACAGATTTCGTAAGCTCAGGTCGATCGACAAGGTGCAACACTGGAAGTTTGACGAGACTGAGTGTCTTTGCACAATTGGGACTTACATCTCCAACCAAAGCGCAGGTCGCCGAATGAGAAGGCGGGTCGAAGTCGGGGGCTGCGCTGTGCTCGCCAGCTTCTGCATGGGGGGGTGGGCTTGCTGCGCTACTCAGATCCTCAGCGGGGTTCCCCTGGAGCCGCAAGCGCACATCCTGGCCCCTCTCGAGTACCTGCATGACGCACACACCGGACACTCACATTCGAGCCTACCCTCATATTCCGCTTGCTTTGGGCTACACCTTGCGGATAGCAGGAGACTGGAATCCTTATTTCCAATGACAAGATGTGGACCAGAGGCGGGGCACGTACTGTGGGGAGGGGCTCGCTCATGGCCCACCTTGCAGATGGCAGAAGACTGAATTCCTTGTTTCCAATGACAAGGTGTGGACCAGAGGCGGGTACGTGCCCACCGTCGTTCTTGCCACGGCTGTATGGTCGGGCTTGCTTATGGCCTACACCTTGCAAATGGTAAAAGCCTGGGTTCCTTAATTCTAATGACAAGGTGTAGACCAGAGGCAAGACTTTCCGCCCAGCCTGGATTGCATTTGCAAGCTCAACATGAAAGTCGCGATGAGCCTGTAGAGGGCGGAGTGCCTAAGTTCTCTTGGATATTGCAGGCCACAAGAGCTCCTCGAGCATACCAACGAGCGCCTCACATGTGAGAATGGTTGCGGCGTTGGCACGTGCTCCTCCTCTGCCTCCTCTAACTCTTGAGAGAGATTCGGACGGCGTCGCTTCCTCTCGAGCGCCCGCCCTGTTAATACCACCCCACCAATGTCCTCCTCGAGACAAGAGGCTCCTTCTGGGCAGCGCTCGCCTTCACCGTTGGAGGACTGCAAAGACGACACGCAACAAGCCTGATGGGTGTGGACTTCATTCCACCATCAATCAAGCGTCACCAGGCGCCTTCCTGATGAGAATCCAGGATTGCTTCAGCTGCGAAGCACGCGTGCCTTAGCGGCACACCAGATTTAGCAACCCAACGAAGTCGCATCGAGACAAATTGCGTTGGCATCATGTTGCTCCTGTCTCTCAGCTTTTCGCAATCCAGTTCGTACCTTGCGTTTGCATTTGATTGACGGTGATACAGGAATCGGCTCTCTAAAAGCGCTGTTGGTAGACCAGTTGGCAACCGGAGAGGTGGGTGAATCACCCTGTACAGCACAGCAAACCCAGAAGTGGCTTGACAGCAGAAGACACTGGTCAGTTTTGCATAAACGGGCACCAATGTTGCACGAGGCAGTTGCAAGAGAATGGGCAGACACCCTGGTGTAAATCTCAGACACAGACTTTCAAGCCAACATAGTGCGTGCAGGTCATTTCGTAGGACCCAGAAGCCCACTGGACTGGGTTGACGCTAACCTCATTGTTGGGAGCCCTGTAGAAGCTTGCACCTTGTATGCTGCCAGAATCTTGATCGTCAAAGAAATCTTGTAGTGACTGTCCAGACTGAGATCCATCGACAGATCGATCAGCATACTCAGCACCTTCGATGTCCTCTCCTTGGGTCCCTTCTGATTCTGACACATCACTGTACACATGAGCAGAATACCTGTGAGCATCTCAGCTTGCACTATACGTGAGTGCATTCAGACCTAGGCAGAACTAGACGCAAACATTTCCCCGCTGATCCTGCAACTCCGCAACTCTGCAACTCAAGTAGAGATTGACCACTAGTATGATATTTGGACCTGTTTTTGAAAACACATGCCTTTATAGTCACTCCGCTCTCATCACGCCCATCTCCCAGTCTGCAATTCTGATCCCAATCACTTTCCAGCCCCAGTGCTGTCCAGAAAAGCACTCACCTATCCCAAGGCAGGTGCATGTCGGAAGACATGGCAGCTCAGCTGGCATACGCAACCAGCCGCAACCAGCCAGCTTTATGTGACCAGAGCTCCGTCAGGCTCACAGCCTGATCAGCTTCAGCTGCTAATTGTCAGCATCAAGTCTGCGCTTCACAGGGTTGACTTAGCTTTAGCCTACACTAGGTCTCAGTAGCATAAGACTTACCATGATGGCAGGCAGTATCTGGATTACAAAAGGACCATCGACTCTAGGCGGCGTGTCTGTAGGCCATACTCGCAGGCGTTTGGAAAGATGAGTGAGGATTGAAAAGAAGGGGAGTCCCGGAAAAGCTCATCTGCAAATTAAAGGATTGAAGCAGAAGATTGCCCCTTTACATCCCATGAGCACGCGAATTCAGTCGAACACTGTGCATGATCCAGTAAAGCTGCAGCCTCTGCTTTGTTGGCAGGCTGCTGCGTTGGCAGAAGCTTCCTAACCCTTCCAAACTGCTGCGTTGGCCGTCCGAAAACTGTCACCCTTTAGAAGGCAACCAACAAAGCGACAGGGCTGAAGCTGCTTGAGTCTTTGCTGCATTGGCCTGAGTTTCCAGAATCTGTTTGAGCTGAGTGTTCAGAGCTTCCAATACCTGCTGCTTGCGTTGGCCTTGTCAGGGCCTGATTCAGACTGCTGACTCAAGCAGGACTTTCGCCTTGCACTGAACGCCCTTTGTGTGCGCGCCAAAAAAAAAGCTCCCGCAGTGTGCTGCCAGCTGGACGCTTCGGATGCTGAAGTCGAGTCAAAGCCAGTCTTCTTGCAAGACCCTTCTTGCGCGCGCTGCTCGCGATCGGACGGCGAAGGGTCGTTCGGGCGACGAAACCTTCTGGCCTCGGCTTTTGCAACCAACATCATGATCGAAGTCGAGTGCGAGGGCTGAGTGGCAGTGTGGAATGGCTCAGGCGCCGCATTCACTGGTCTCTGCGGGACGTCACTGGTGAGGTGAATGGCGTCTGCCGCAGTGCTCTTCAAAGTGGCTGGGGCAAAAACTTTATGTTCGCGCGGGCAGGCAGACATTGCCCCTGCAACGCCCCAGCGATTCGCTTTCAGGACACTTCCTCCATCTCTGTATGAGGGATTGAGGCTGGGCCGGTTTCATTCCGACTACAGGGTGGGGTCAGGATTGAGGCGCTTCTCGCCGAGGGCAGAGATTCCCCGGGAGGGAGCAGAGTCTACCGGAAGTTCCAACTTGGTTGACAGCGTGCCTCAGGCTGAACAGGTCAAGGATGAGGCACAGGCTCTCAAGTCGAGCATCAAGCGTGTGGAGAAGGAGATTGACGATGTGAAGAACCAGATTAAGACTGCTGCGGCTGCAGGCAAGAGCACAGAGTTCTTGCAGCGGGAGAAGACCGCGCTGCGGCAGAAGGAGGCCGCGCTGCGGCAGAAGGAGGCCGCGCTGGAGCAGCGACTGACCGCGCTCGTGCAGGCGGAGGTGGAAAAGTTGAAGCTGCAGCAGACACCAGGTACGTCTCCCGTCGTCTTACGCATGGAGAGCGGTCTCCTTGGAGCAGCCCAGCAAACCAGCGCACAGATGTGAAAAGACCATGAGCGGCGCTCTGCTGCCAATGTTGTGCTGCAGGCAATTCCCCTGCTGCTTGTCGATGTTTCGCAAAGAGAGTGGTAGGGCACACCGCACAGAGGGTATTCTATCTGTCTTTGCCTGCAGTTCAGGTGTCTGCTCAATGAGCCATGGCAATCTGTCTCGATTGTTGCTGCTTAAGAAGGGTTTTTGTATCTGTGTTTGCCTGATGTTGGTGTGTTGCTCTGTGGGTCATGGCAACATGCAGGCGGAAAGGTTTTGCGGTGCAGAGAAACTACTTCCAACCTCATAGCCTGCTTAGCATTTGCAGTTGGCTTATCCAGTGACTGCGTGTGGAATGCTGACAGATAGCTTCTGTCGTGTGCAGCAGCGGGGATTCCAGACCCTGCAGTCTTGGGTAAGTCTTTGTACCTGTCTCCACCTGTTGGCGCTGTGTGCTGAAGCGCTTGTCGCACCTGTCAGCATTGTCTTCTATTTGATCGCTGTTTCAGGTGCTGTTTGACT